TGATGCCGCCCTTGATCTTCTGCACTTTCTCATAGACAACCAAGAAAGGTACGCTCCTCGCGTGACTCAGCCATGTGGTTTTTGTCCTCGGCCAGGCGAATCTGTTCGGTGTTGAGGTGGATCCACTTATAGAGAGCCTTCTTGAAGGTTTCCTCATCGGTGCTGCCAAATTGATACGCATCATCCACACGGAGACGGCTGTTGCTCGACATGTCTTGAAACGCCTTCAGAGCATCCGAGTCCTGGCTCGCCGGCTTCCTTGGCGTCGCCAGCCGGACCTCCTTGCTCTCAGCATCTTCAACGGCTTCACCATCTTGGGCATGAGCTGCACCATTTTCCTCCAACGCCTCGGTCTTGGCCTTGGTCTTCTTCTCTTGTTCTTCCTTCTCGTAGACACAGCGCTGCAGGATGCTGCACAAACCAGGACGAAGCTTATGAGAGTAGTTGATGCCTGTGCTCTTGTTTTCTTCGCCGTTGATCAGCTGCGCCGAGTAGTCGAAAGCCGCCTCCATGGACGCGATCTGATCCTTCTGGTATCAGGCGGACGGGCACCTGGCCACCAATGGCGTTAAAAACTGGTTAAAAAAGTCGGCTTTTTGGGATCGCGGGGCGCCTGCCTTGGGCCGTTGTGTGTCTGTTTCGTTTCTGGGGTTTTTCTGCCTTTCTCTTGTTGTTTTGTTGGTATATTTGCGAGCGACAAGGGGGGCGCTTCTGAGTGTGTTTCCTTTCTGGTACTCTACAGAGGTCCTGCGGATCTTGAAATCTGCGGCAGCGGATCAAAAAAGACGACTGAAAAAGTCCCTGTGCTTTTTCGGTCGTTTTTTTCGGTCGGTTCTGGTTCTGTATGCTTTGGCTGAGTGGCTCGGCTTGAGGGTGCATGTCTTAGGAGTGTCGGCTGAAGGGGGTGCATCGCTGAAGCTGGTCAGGGAGGCGATAGGCCGTCGGCCTTCGGGTGTGATACTTCTGGCCTCCTGGGTGTTTTCGTGCTGCTTTTCAGTGGGTTGGGCTTGTTTGTGTTTGTCTTCTGTTGCTTGGTCGTCTTGGTCCGCCCCTTGTGGAGGAGGGGCCGGGGGCATTTAGGGGAGTGCCTCTGCCATTGGGTGCCCACACTGAGCCACGGCCCCGGGGCTTGACGATTGGCGCAACAGCTCGCGCGGAAGCAAGTGCTGGGCCTCGCACTCGAAAGGATGGGGGGACCCGGTAGGGGTCTCGCCTGGGCTTGGGGGTGGGGTCCCGGTCGACGGTTAAAAACCGGTTCAAAAACGGTTAAAATTTTCCGACCCTTTCCCGGGTTGGAAAAAAACGGTTAAAAAAACGGTTAAAAAACGGTTAAAATTTTTGGTCTTTTTCTCGTGTGATTTCGCCTAGAAGTCGGCCGCTTTTGCTTTTGGGGTCGGTTTAGAGCAGTCCCGCCGAGTTTTGGAAGGACCTGCCGCCGACTTTTTTAACCGTTCCCAAATTTGGCGTCATTTTAGCCGTGAATTTTAGCCGTTTTTTTAACCGTGAATTTTAGCCGTTTTTTTAACCGTCAACTTTAACCGGTTTTTTAACCGGTTCCCGCGGGGTCTTGGGGCGCTTGCCTTCGGGCTGCGCAGCCGTGACGTAGACGGGGCCGCATCTGACGCACCCGCCGCATTCCGCTGGCAGGCCTCGAAGCGTGGCGTGGTGCTCGTGCAAGCTCCGCGGGGTTGGCTGGGTGGTGCGCGTGTGGACGTTGAGGCCCCGCGTCGAGCAGTGTCTACCCGAGGTGGGGCTGTAACGTCTACGCCAGTCAGGTTGCGTGGGTCGGGTCGCGTGATTCTGGAGTGGGCGCCGGGGCCACAGTTCGCTGGCCCCTCGAAGTGTGGCCTTAACGTCTGCGCTGGTGAGCCTCGGGGGCTGGTGTGGTGTCGGCTCTTGGTGTCGGGCCTTTTCTTGGGGTGTCTTTCTCGAAGTGTGTGGGGCCGCTTGCTGGAGGCCGGCCCAGGTGCATGCGCTAGACCCGCGGGCGCCTGCTATTGCATTGTAGTGACACGGGTTCGCCCGGTGGGGTCTTTCGTGGGTCTTTTTTGTCGGGTCGGTTGTTGCCCCCCGGCTGCCAGATCAGCTGACGCGGGTGCGTTGTGGTGTCTTTCGGTCGGGATTTTCTCAAAAACCGAAAATTTTAACCAAAGTTTAACCGCATTTGTTGGCTCGGGATGTGTCCGCCTGACTGGTAGTCCTTGACATCTTGGGCTTCTGGTACACCGGGGGAACGTGGAGCACGGTTCTCCTTAGCAGCTTGCGCCTCCTCCTGCATGCGTGCGCGCTCCGCGCGCTGTTCCTCGAAGTGCAACTTCTTCGCCGCTTCGCCGGGCGCTTGACTCATAGAGGGATACCTGGCGTGGAGTGGTGGGAGTCAATTCATTGAAGTCAAGATGTGTCGGAAGTCAGAACCTTCAAGAAGGTGCAAGCATAATATAAGAAGACGCTAGTGAAATCTGTTCACCTCATTCGGTAGAGGCTTCCTGTGAAGCGCCAGCGCGTCGGTGTTGCGTATCAGTCATCTGCCCAAAAGACAAAGAGTGGAGTAGAGTAGAGTAGAGCAGAGTGCTTGAAATAGCCGAAGGCATGCAATTTGCGACCGGCGTCGTTCTTGATAACGTCAGGGCCCTCCTGCTCGAGCAAGTACGTGGCTGCCTCGCGTTTGGTGAGATTCTTGCGGAAGACTTCGCGGCGGCGAGGAATTGCTCCACGAAGCGGCTTCATCTGTGGGCCCGTCAAGTTCTGGGTCTCCTCGCTGCACTGGCCCAATCCCTTAGAAATGCGACTAAGCATCTCTTTCGGTGCAGTCTTGTGCTTCTCGTATGTACCCAACAGCCATTCCTTGACGTTCAGAGTGGAGTCAAAACCGAAGAAAATCCAGTCACAGTCACAGACGCCCTCGCTATGTATCGATAAGCCAGTCAGTGACCTCATCCAAGTCCTCCATCAGCTTGAATAGACCGGCCAAAAGCGTGGCGCGCCATCCAGTGGCCGTCTCGCTCCAGCAGAAATTAGAGCGGGACAAACATGCCAAAAGCGCAGAAATTTATGGACTGCCCGAAATGGCAACAGATAAGATTAAGGAAATGAACTAGCAGGCAGTTTGCACTTGCGTGCTGCTCTACGTTAGAAGTGGTCATGGCCTTAGTGGGATTATACGTTGCGCCAGTATGTGCCAGGGCCAGCTGCGCGGTGTTGAGGTTCTGCAATCTGTCCAAGCAAGAACGGCAACGGTCGGGGCGGCCTTTCTTCGCCTGGGGTGAAGAGTACTCGAGTGCAGTTCCGACGTCGCCGCTGAAGCTCGTCAGCTCATCGCAGGTAATCGGCTCCAAGGTGGCGCACTCGATCAGGTAGTCCAGCAACGAGTCGCACTTGGAGACGTTCTGAATCTGCTTGGCCATCTCGCGGGTGGCTTTGGCTGTTATGGCATGACGATGATGGGTCTGGGTGGGAGTGAGTGTTAGTATTCTTGAGGACGTATATACTCTTCCACTGCGATGCTGTTGCTAGATAGTGAGTGTATAACTGTTCGGCGATGGATCGTCCTTAGGAAGCAACACCCATAGAGTTAGGGAAGACATAGAAACTGCGTCAGTATGAAGATACCATACAAATTCTTGCCATTGGCCTTCTTCTGACGGAGTTGATCAAAATCTACACGGTTCGCAATCTGAGACGCCATGGACTGCAAATCGATGCCATCAGTGAAGCGCTCGATCTCCAAGATTATCCTTAGACTTTCAACCTTCTTCAGTTGTGCAGCTCCAGCGTTGATGGTTGATCAGTGGACCCTGGCAAACCTGTGAGATTCCAGTAGGGGAAGTTAAATTCAACCACTCTGGTCTATGCTAGTAGTGAGCCCATACGAGAAGGAGAAGCCGGGCCACATCATCCAGATTCGCAGGTAGATGCTCGGCCTATATCTATAAGATTTAGTACAGCGCCATCATATACTTACACGCAAGAGCTGTCTCAGAGGTCGCTCCACATAGTGACGCTCTATCGAGCTACTTGCGACATCTGCTAACAGTCCCAGTGGCAGCATTGTGGGCTCAGTATGAAAAAGTATACACATACTATTCCGAGTTAAGTTTACGACGAATTTTATCCCAACACAAACAGAACCGACCAGAGGTCTCATCCCTCTGGTTTGTGGAGGGAGAAAAGCCTTGTGGCCGAGGTCGACAAGTAAGGTGAGACTGCCAACACTAAGAGCCAACGTAGAAGAAATGGCATAGGTATACCAATGCCTTATAATACTTAGTACCTGTTTGGCCCATTCTTCAGCAGATTTAACTTTACGCCGTGCGGCATTCTGTGCCCCGACGGGGCCAGCGCGATTGTCCTCACTATCGGGCATCTTCCTGATCTCCAGACGCGTGCGAGTCAAAGTGTAGCAGTTGTTGCTTAGTAGTGTCAAGGTAAATAAAGGCTCTTGCTTGAGAATTGTGAAGGAGGTCGCTGAGACCCGCCTTGGTCTATCTCCTATAGGAATTGGCGCAGAAGAGAAGTCCGTAAGTCAATTTCTTTCCTAGACGTTTCAAGTGTGTTGAAGTGAAGCACGAAGTTAAAACTTTAAAGAAAATAGCTGGAATATGACTCAATAAGCACTCAATAATCATTCAATAAAGTCCAATATTATTGAGTGATTATTGAGTCATTATTGAGTCACTATTGTGTCTTTTTTAGTCCAGTACTTAGGTAGTAAATTGAGGTATAAGACATTGAATAATTAGTGGACCTTATTGAATGATTATCGAATGACTATTGAGCTGCTTTTTTGGTCTTGATTTTCAGGCTTTTTGGAAGTTCTTCTTGATTTGGTTCGGTGATGGTATTCATCGGTCGCGAGCAAGTATTCCACCACGATGACTCTCATACACATGACCCAATAACAGTAGTCGCCTACTAATGGAGCAGTAATCAAGCAGTAATGACCCACTAATAGCTAGTTACTAGCTAGTTATTAGCTATGTTATTGCGATGATGGGCCAGACATGGAGATCGCTGCGTCGTGGGGAGGATGGTTTGTTGTAGTGAGAAGCAGCCGAGAAAGACGACGCATGAGTGTGGATCTGGATTTCAGACTTTCTTTTCTCTTGAACATCTTGAGACACTTGATGAACACACGTTTTTTCTCATTATGTTGAAACGAAAGAACAGAAAAGCCGTATAGGTGGCCACTCCTGCTCTCACGACGTGGCGTCTGATTCTGATTCGCAGCATTATACTTGCCGATGGCATTCGTGGGTGAGAGACTCCTGAGACCGTGAGCGGCTATCTCAATTGAGGGAGTGAGAGTAAAGACTATCAGACGACATCGAACACAAAAGACCGCAAAACGCTGCTGGGAGTTGTACTAGTATGATCGATTGACTTTTTCGCTAGTATCGTTCGAAAAAAATCGGCCACTTATTTTCATGTCAGAAACTGAAAAAATGATAGTGAAAAGTGTGAAAAAGATGCCTCATTCAGACGATACTACGCCAAAAAGTAAACTAATGGCACAGTAGTGATCTAGTAATCAACGAGTACTGCTTAATAGTGAGTCAATATGCATCTATATTCATCTAGTGAGAGTAGGGCTCTGATTCAATAACTCGTAAGCACTACTCATAATAACATGGTAATTAGTGACTGAATGGCTGTAGTTGTATCCTTGAGCTTGATTTTTTGGTAGTATAATCATAGAAAAAATGAAACGGCACAGGGCAGACGAATGTCCTGACCTTAGTGCTGCTAGAGGTCGACCGAGCCCAGCGGTCTTGGGCTCAGATTCTAGCTCCTCCTGCGTGTCTGGAGTTAGACACGGGCTGGGAGCTAAAGGGCCTAGTAATCAGGGAGTCTGCCGGCCTGCTTCGCCTCAGCGGATCTCGGAGAAATCATCAGCAGTCTATGAACGTGCGGGCCGCCTTTTAAATCCAGGCTTGCACTCATGTCAGTACTTGGCAGGAACAGGAGACACGTTCTTACTAGATGAAACGCTGCTGCTAGATGAGGCAGCACACAACCAGGACACCTTGCATAGCTTGACAGCAGATGACGAATTCTTCCTAGATGGTGTTTTGCTGGAGCAGTCGCAGGAACAACAGAGACCATCGGAGAGTCAGTCTCTACCAGTAGTGCAAGCAGCTTCAGAAAGGGACTCGGTGACGGCATCAGAGAGTCAACACTTCATGCGTAAAATAGGACCGGGCCGGCCGAAGGCGAGTATGGAGGATCGTGCAGAGTTTTGGAAGTTATGACGAGTATCTCAGCGCACTATCCTCAGACATATATCACAGCACCGCACTAGAAAACGACTTATTTTCTCCATTTCTTTTCATATATTTCTTGAGTTTATTGTTGGTGAGCTCTAATAATGAACAGATGCAAAATCATACAGCAGAAGGAGAAACGGTTGCGGAACCGATTAGAGGAGCTTAAGTCCCACGCACAAGACGACGCCTACATGCGGAAGCTAAGACTGCAGATGGCGCGTGGCTTAGCAGACAGTGCTGCTGCTGTTCGGGCATACTCGAAGGACGTGCTTCTTCTAGAAGATGCCGTTGCGCGGACATCTCTGGCCAGCTATAAAGCTGTTATAGTGGAGAGAATATTCAAGGAGAACAGGGCATGGATAAAGATTAAGGCCTATAGACAATCGGGCGCAGTAGTAAAGTAGAGATGACACATTTGCACTGCAACCTTTAGCCCGTCACTAGTGCTCTCTAATAGCAGCATCTTGGACTTACTGCCAAACGAGCATCCGACTTTCCTCCGAATGATATGGCGACTTGGTCTGATGCGCGTGTCCTTCTCGATTCAACTAACTAAAAAAAGAATACTTGGGAAGGACATGGTGAGTAACTCTAACACCTGGACACGATGAATTCCGCGCTCACTTTAAAAAAATGGGAACAGCGACGTACTTACTGGCCTAGTTGTTGTGTAGAGTATGGATTTATGGTCCAGAAATGCTCAGTAGTGACATAATAAATGATGAATAATGTGCAATAGTGACACAGTAAATGGTGAATAAAGTTCGATAATGAATCAGTTTTGATATAGTAATCACACAGTAGTCAAACAATAACCATCACTATGTATACAGTAATAGCACAGTAATAAACTAGCACAAGACTCAGTGACTACGACTATCTGTAGTAGTATTATCTTTTAAGGTTATTAGATCGTGCATTTTATTGGGAGAGCTGTACTATCAGGGCGATGCAAGTGGACCAACACGCTACGCAAAGCCGCAACTCCAGTGCGCAGCTTTATCTTTAAGGCTTGAAGCATGTCACTTCTGTGTGCTTTCTCTACTTGAAAATCGTTCAAAAAATGAAATGCTTCAACCTCTAATATCTGGTGAACTTCTGGGTTCCCAGTTTCCTAAGGCAGAAGGTTGGGCTTCTGCCGTTGTCGGAGCTACGCTATTTGTTATGGAAGGATCACTGAGTATGTAGATGCGCAGTAGAGTGTCGTTTGTAAGTTTCTAGCCTAGTGAGCTGCTAGCAGGGGCATGTAAAATGAGTGCTGTAGAAGTAGAGGACCTCCTTTTTTCATATCTTTGCGAGCTGCATGCGCTGGCGAGGAAAAACAGTGCAAGTGTGGCAGTGTCGATGGTTGCCATGTTTGAGGCCATGTGCGATGACCTGCTGAAGACTCTGGAGAAGTGTGTCGGGGAGGAATGCGAAGCGTTGAAGCGTGTGCTGGTCCATTGTATCGTCAGCGATAACTTGGAAGCCAACGCATTGGCCGTCAGGATGTCGCGTAAGAAGATGCGACAAACAGCGAAAAGGATGGGGCTGGAGTATATAGTGGTCTTAAGGATGTACTTTTTTAGCTTTCGGGCACAAGGATGAAGACACATCAGCACTGGGCTGATGTTGAACGTTCTCTCTTGTGTCCGCTGGTGAAGCCGCTGCCCTCTAAATTCGTATTTGGACCTGGAGTGTTGCCCCCATAAGATGAATTTAGTGTCGAGCTTCGTTATGGCTGGCTATGTATCATGGGCGCGTAGATATAATTCACACACGACCACGAGCTAGCGACTACCACACACTACCACTAGCTCACGCATGGTTTGCCTTTCCTTTTCTGGTTTATAAGTTATCTATGGATTGGTGTATAGTATTTCTAACATAGCGATGCTAGGAAACGACGCGGCGCTGGCGAAAAGAAGTTATGACACAAGTGGATAGTGCTGCGTAGTCTCTCTGTCAGGCTATTTGCAGCGATCACATGGCTAATTTGGAACAGTAATGACCTACCCTAGTCTTGTTGTAAAAGTCACTCAATAGTCACCCAGTAATAGATGAGTAATAGCCTAATAGTAGAGTAGTACTGGGTCAGTTTTAAAGTGTTTGCGTCTTCTAATGTGCAGGACAGCTGGAAATCTGGGAAGGAGAAGCATCGGCGAACGTCGACGTAGGCAGGGTATGCGCATTGCTGTGCAAATTTTTAAGGAGACTAGACGTCTTTCTTCTATATTTTGGCTTCTTTTCTGGCTTTTGGATCTAGCCCAAAGCCTCCCATTAACCTCTAAAAAAAGTCGCTGCCAGTCGCGCGGATGTGTGGAAGGTCACTCTCTTATGGGCGTAGAGTCTTCCTCTACGACTAAAGGCCCACTTATAAGTTTTTTGACTACCTCCATTGTTTATGTTGTAGAAAAAATAGAAGTAGTCAACTACTACTATTACTAAGAGTGATGGCCTTGTGTTCTGGATAATAACGTTTAGTATGTGGGTTGTCAGTGTCTATGATTCTAAAGCAGTAGTCGACCATCTTTCTAACACTGCGGCAATCGTTGGCGGAGCTGGGCGTGAATATGGTAAGAGAGAAGCTTCATCAGGTGAAGGACCTCTACAACTGCATCAGCGACGACCTCATGGAAGCTCTGGACGAAGGAAACCTGCTGGACTTCGCGACTTTGTGCCAGCGCAAAATGATAAAGGTTGAAGAGCATCCAGTGCCGACCAGGTGTGTTGTCTTGTTTACAGTGGATATCCAGTAATCGTGACACACTAATGCACAATAATGGAGTAGTAATGCACAGTAATGGAGTAGTAATGAACTAGTAGTGTACTAATAGTGGGCAAGTAATTAAGCAAGAAAGCACACTAATTAATTAGTGTTGAGACCTATCAATCATATCGTGCTAGGTTCTACAAGTTTGGGCCTTGTGTGGAGGGATTACTGTTGCGCTTCCTTTAAGGCTTTTCGTTTCCAACACGCTTCTACAGTGGACTTTTCTAGATGTAGAAAAGACCACTGCATGTCAAAAGTAGAAGGGTGCTAAGGCTCAACGCATTGCGCATTCTAATTCTTGATAGTGCCAGGGCTTGAACACGTAGCAGTTGTGGACAATAAGGACACTTATGGCGAGTTATCATTATCAGGCGCGCGTGCCTGACTTCAGCTCTATCATCAATCTACTTATTTAGCATTAGCTGGGGCGCTGCCTTACTCTAATCAGGGGACTCGAAAACGCGGAAGGGATACCTCAAGCGATTTTTCAATAACGAAAAAAACGCGGAGCGCATCAAGATCGCTGCACTTGGCTGGCAGACGGCTCACCCCGCTGTGAGGATTTTCCGGGACGCAAAAGGACCAAGACGCTGGTGCAGATAGGACGCCGATTCTGGTGAAGTTTGCGTCAGGTCGTCTGCATGCAGTCACGGAAGCAACAGCCAGGCACTTCATCAAACGTCTCCCCGCTGACCCACAAATCGGCGCACCAAATACGACAGCGCGTGGAGACGCTGTGTCGCGGATGTTGTCAACGGTTCTGCATGTGGCTGAGAGGGCAGCGCGGTACTCAGAGGCCTTTCCTGGTAGGCTGTGCATGCTGTCGAAAACCTACAACCCCTTCGATTTTGAGGAAGAGGCTGAAGATCTACTTTTAAGATTCTCAATTATTTGTAGGAGCAGGGGGAGCAAGTTAATTTTCACTGGGAAACGAATAATGATAATTTATTTTAATATTATAAAGTAAGGGCAAGGGCTGAGGGATGGGCCTGACACTCAGAAACTGATTTTGCTTTCTAATGATGGGATGCACGAAAATGGAATACTTGGACAGCTTCACCATCTACATTCGCTACCAAATCAAAAAGCACGGCATTCATTCCAGTATCGTCCAAGAGCAGCTTGATGCGTTTGCCGCTATCGGAAGGCCTGACAACCTGCAAACATTAAGGCCTCACCCACTCCATCTCTCTATCTTGGTTCCTCATTAAGTTGCTGTCGCTTTTCAGTAGAGAAGATGGATTCATTGGTCTGAGTTCTAAAGTCGGGGAGAAACTTGCGAGACGTGGCCAGGTATTTTATGCATGGCTGACCCATCAAAAAGGGCCAATAAATGTCTAATAGTGATCTAATAATAGAGCACTAATAGACAAATAATGACTCAGTATTCAATTAATTAGGTACAATAATCACACAGTATTCGTTCAGAAATAGAACAGTAAACACCTAGTGTTAGTGCTTCGCGTGCAGTCGTGGCCCGCAGGCTTTTGGTCTTATCACAGGTGTTCCCGTCGACGCGAACAAATCAAGACATACGCAGTTGTATGAAAGGCTATAGAACTACTTGCTTTCTGTAGTATTCTTTGTATTAGTCCCCACTAGAAATAGAACACTACGAAAGTAAGCAAGTAGTTAGTTAGCTTTTCATGTCTTGCGTCGCAAGACTACAACACCAGGCAGTACAACAACCTATGCAGACCATTCCGCCAACGAGAACAAGCACTGCGTGAGGGCATCCGCGCTTTAGTTAAGGACCAACAAGCTCGTGGTAGGGATAGGCTAGCACGCATCAGAGCAAGAATATACATGGGGGGGGTGATCAGTGGCAGAGGGGTAGGGGCTTATGATCTGAAGGAGTTACTTTTTAACTTTATTTACTTCGTTCTAACATGCAGAAGAAGAAACACTTGGGAGTAGGTTCGCTGGCAATGCGTGACCTGCATACTTCAGGAGCCTCGTTTTTGCCTGTCGAAGACGAATCGCAGATGCAGCAGGTACCTCTTGAAGATGGGCCGTCTGGTGATGGAGACGATGCAGAAGCTCTAGCAGGAGCAGGACTAGACGCTGTCGAAGCAGAAGGTGAAGATGAGAAATCAAACGCGACTCGACAGTACGTGGATGATAATCGCACGAGGCTACAGCAGGAAGTAGAAGAAGTCAAGTCGTTGCCAGCCAAAGAAATTGACAGGAAACTACTAGAACTACAAAAAAAGTCGCCGCATCTATGGACGATACAGGACTGGGTCAATTGGCGAGTGAATACGAACGAATGGCGCCACCTTGTGCGTCACGCGGTCAGCAATAGAAGGACTAGGTGCAACATGAAGTACGAAGGAGATGAGGATGAGTGGAAGGACAACAGCGAGACTCGTCTGCGACCACAACCCTGGCGCCGCTATCAATGGGAGAAGAGCTTTCCAGAAGAGCCCGACGTTAAATGGTTTGAGAGCAACAGGAGCAGACTGCACCACAAGAACGCCTTCTACGCTGTGAAGATAGACAGTCGCATCGAGATGGTTTTTCTTTTATCACACGAATGCTGGGCCTTGCGATTTAATGTGGACCCATCTTATGGCCGAGCAGTATTCTTGATATTCATACGTGTGCTTTTATATCATCTCATCTCTTTTATATCATCTTACTTCTCCGAAGAGTTTGGTGCTGATCTACGTGGCCCTCTTCTATCCTCTAATGAATATTTGGCAACGTTTTTTTCTTGGAGTTGGACAAGCCGTTGCAACCAGAACCCTGCAGAGAGCTACTATCGAATCTACAGGAGGAGCAGACGACTTTGCATGTCGTGGAGCCGGTCGCCCACACACTCAACGATCATCGAGTTGTGTGGAAGATCCCAGTGGGATCGCACTTCGAGGCCCAGCCCAAAGTTGTTGAGCAAAACGAGAAGAAGCAGAAAGGGAAGGGAAAGGCGAAAGGGAAAAAGGAAAAAGACCAAGTGGCGGATGGGTTGCACGCGGCTGAGTACGATCCCGAATGCGAATGGCAGTGGGATGAGGATGAAGTTGCTGATGATATTGAGGACGAGTCTGCCCCTCATCAACGTGCCCTGAGCCTTCCTGTCTTAGCTGATCCGGCGCTGTTTCCACCAGAGGAGGAGAACGAGATGGAGCTTGCAGAGATCGAAGCTCATCGAGATCCGCCACTAGATGAAGAGCGAGAACCTGCCGCCAACGAGGATGTCCAAGGGCGTGAGGAGGCGGAAATGGAGAACCAGCATCAACATGCAGCTCCAGCTGTAGCTGATGGAGGAGGAGGAGGCCTTGCTGACTGGAATGACGTTGATGGCGTCTCCAATGCGTCCAGGAAAGAAAGGGGAGAAAGCGTTAGAGTCTCGCTAGGCTGCTTCACCATAAATCAGACGGACGATGGCAAAGGTGCGGCCAATACATGCATGCGGATTTATTGCCTGGAGTCCTGGAAGAGGCGCATGAACGAGGCGGATTTGTTTATGGCTCATCTAAGTGCATCACCAGATCTAGCTCATCTACATTGTTTATAAGTAGGCTCTTCTCTCTTATTGGTGTATATTCTCTAACACGGCCATCATTTGGCAGACGCAGGCCAAGCTTAGCGAATGCGACAAAGAGGAAACGGTAGAGACGTACCTGCGGGGGTGGATGGTCCACAATATGAGTAAGGCGTCGATATTCATGGACACACCACACAGACGGCTGCACGTGGAACGGCAAAAGCAACGAGTCACGTTGGAATGGAGAGCAATGACAGACCTTGAACGAGCAGAAATCAGGAGGATATGCGCAACAAGAAAACCAAGGCACCGCTGGGTGTGGCCTTTTCATGATGATGACGAAGAGAATCCATAACATTTTAGAGGCAGAAGAGGACCATCATTCTGCAAGCATCATGGTTATTGTTTCGAAGTGAGCTTGTTTTTGAGTATCAAGCCTCTCTGTATCTCTTATCTACGTGTAGATGCTTAGTTGTATTGTGTGAGCTTTTGTTTCTTGGTCTTGATTCAGTACCTCCTATAAAGAATGATCCACATGAATTTCTGAGCTAGCGTACTAGCGTACGCGTCTAGTGTTCATGGATATAGATGCCACTGAATAGCAATAGCGTAAGAGTAATAACGTAAGCAGATCAGTACCGCATAACTAATGACTCAGTCTTGGCCCACTAATGAACCACTACTAGCCCAGTAATGGCACAGTAATTTTTCTCGAAAGCCTACTAATGGAGCAGTAGTGAACTAGTATTTAAGCCAAAAATCCAGTATACTCATCATTTTCACGGGTAACCCCTTGCTTATACTACTAATTTAGCCTAGTATACTCCAAATTTCCCTCATATTATTGAATGATTACTAGGTCAAGCGGCTTAGATTATTAGATGACTACTGAATCACTATTGATTATTAATGTACCACTATTCCATCGCTTCTGCTCATTATTGAACTACCACAATTGATCTCATTTCTCTGCAGTGACGTGCAACAGATGCCGACGCATCCTCATAGACGTAAAGATGTTTCGCTTGAACAGATACAGCCGTAGAATATACGACGTATTGCCATTAGAAAACTCACACAGCTAACTGTGATTGAAATTATAATGGATACTATGGCTCTCACCCATGTTCTTCAGAGAGGCATCACACTCAATGAGAGATGGAGAGACGATGCGAGACCAAGATGATACATTATTTCAGCTGTGGAAGAGAGAAAAATGACGAGTGATTTTCACTTTTACTCTTGTTTGTTTGTTTGTTTGTTTGTTTGTTTGTTTCTTTGTTTGTTTGTTTTGATGCGCTCCGGGCGATGCACTTTTACTCTTTCTCTTTCACTCTTAAAAACATGCAAAAAGGGCTATCACTAACAGAAAAAAGCATAGAAAAAACTATCTTTAGTTTCATGATGTTCAGGCGTGTAGTCTATTTTCTACATTTGTCTTTGTGCTACGCTCACTGCTCAACAGCTTTAGACTTCTAGTGTGTCTGGATTTAGATTCATACAGCCATTAGATGACAACTCATCACAATCGTAGTTACATCTTCTCCCAATCAAAAAAACAATTGTAGTCGCAACTAAGCCTCGTCCTCTTGTTCTCTCGTCATCCGACAGAGTACAAGTTGTAAACCAGCCACCTCCTTGCTCTCTTGTCATCAGACAAAGATAAAAAAAAACTCACCTTTTAGGTATTTAAGCAACAACTTCAAAATTCGTACAACTTCTCTATCACCTCGCGTGATTCGGATCGAGTCGAATTTTTCGGACCAACAGCAGCAGCATCGGCTATCAGCTCGCAGGAACCTCTACACTGTCATCAAGATCTCCAGTACGACTACCATCGAAATCGCAGGCACAGGGAGGGTAACCTATTAGAAGTTTTAGACTTGATTACTCAGTGCGTTGTGTTGATTATTCTGGATTTCAGTGCTATTGCATTTGATCAACTTCAGGAGAGCACTCGTCATAGGATGAACTTTTATGGTTTTGAAATGTACTAAATATGAATCATTAAGTTCTTAGATTATTAACCTGTATCCCCTCCTCTATGCTCCTAGGTACGACAGCCACAAGGGGATCGTAGATCACCTTCATCACCGTCATCATTGCCTCTGGATATCAGAGCCCAGACCGACTCCACCACCAACGACTCCACTGCGGTCTCCAAGAAAGACAGGACCTCCACCGAGAACATTCTCACCAGCACCAACTGCAGTCGCACAGCCTACACAAGATGGCGGCCTCCGATCGTTCTTTGAGCCAGAAGCAGTTGACGGAAGTCATTTATGAGAGGGTGGATTTCATTCAGGGATAGTCTAATTCTAAATATTGAAAATTGAAAATCAAAAATATACTGCTATGCACTTTCATTTAGAATCAAAGACTGCAGATAAGTATTGACTTTCATAATTTTCGTGTGTCGATGCGTCTAATCACTGGCCCTCATGGCGCAGGACCTCGATGCAGGGGAGTACAGCTTTCGCACCAAGGACCGTCAATACGGGCGCAATCAAACCCGTAATTGGGCGCCGTCCGCTCGTCGCAAAATCGTGTCGTTTCTGGAGTCGCGTGAGGGGGTTGACCTGGAGACGTGGCGTATACTAGTGAGGATTTGAATTTATAGAACAAGAAATTTAGAAAATCTATAAAAAGCCCAGTACTCATGACGGCCTTTTCTGCTTCATTATTGCACTACGGTTGGTTTTTATTGGTCTTTTCTGAACCATTTATTAGCCATTTCTTTCCATTTCTGAGCTATTTCTCAATCATTTGTTGATGGTTTTGAACTATGTTGAACTGTGATGCAATTTCTCTTAAGGTTTCTCATCGCTCGCGGATGCGTTAACGCATATTGTGAGAAAGAAGGAATTGCCGCGCCGCGGATGACGTCTAGCCTGGCTGTGCAGCTGTGTTCCAAGGTTCGCACGAAGAAAGAAGAAGGTGAGCAATTCCTGAAGGTCTTGTTTGCTGTGCCAAAGGTGAAACTAGACGCGTACATTGAGCAGAAAGGTCCAGATGCTGCCAACTACCTAGCGCAGTGGCAGATCAAAGGGCCTGCACCTTCCAGGTACTAACTTAGTCTTTATCAATTGGTGTAGCTCTGTCTATGAATCTAAGCTACGAAGTCTGTCTGTGCATCTAAAGATGAGCGTGAGACTATCAGTGGAGTGGTGAGATGGAAACTCTGTAGTTGCAGTCTGTCTCCCGCATAAACATCATAAAATCCATCATAAACGCCACAGCTTGGCGGAGAAGTTTCCCTCGGCAACGCGTTATCACCTTGATGGCGAGGCTCCTGCTCTGGGTCAGGGATACGAACGGTGCCAAGTTTCGGCCAGTGAGACCACCACCATGGAACAGTCCGGGTCTGCCTTGGGTCCCGCGTTGGCCGGCATGTTGTACAAGAACCAGAAGGCGATCACGGGTCATGCAGGAGAAAACGAAGTCGAAGATGAAGACGATTCCTCAAAGCGGCCGAGATCACCATCCGGAGCGCCAGGTGGTGCTGGATCTGCCGGCTCAGGTGGTTCTCCTCCTGCGAAAAAAGCGAGACATGGCAAGTCTGTGAACTTCAACGTCAACACGCCGAGCCAGGACTCACCACAGCGACCAGCAGGACTACCAGTTCCACCCTTGAGCTCGAACACGGAATTTCCACCGTTACCGGCACCAGGAGGGCCACCAGCTGGAAAGGGAATTTTGAAAGCCGGAGCTTCGTCTTCGAGCTCGACGAGCGGTTCGTCGTCGTCCAGCGTTGGACGTGGACCGCGAGGCAACGGCGGAAGCACATCAACCACTACTACTGGCAGCGCTCCAGGTGGTGCATCAAGTTCACACGGTACTGGTGGAATTCAGGCGTCACTGGGTGAGAAGGGTGATCCAGACGCGACGCTGCAATTTCTCACGATGTTCCGCGCAGACCTTGGCCGCAAACACTGGGCAGCAGCGAATAACAAACTGGCGATGGCGACTCAGTGTCTAGCGAAGGATGGAAGTACTACTACTATTTTGAGTTATTGAATGATGTCTAGCATAATACTATACGACTACTGTACACTATCAGACGATAACTCTACATTATTGCGCGATTACTCCATGATTACTCCATCACTATTGCATTATTACTTCATGACTACTCCATGACTAATCATTATTACTACATGATTAGTACATGATTAGTGCGTGGCTATTGCGTGATTTCTACATGATTACTGCAGGACTACTTTACATTTTCAGACGAATGCCATATCTTATTCCACTAGTTCTCTTTCCACCTACACCCACAGACGACGCAAAGGCCAAAGTTGAGCGCGGTGTGACCTCCATGCTGATGCCCAGCAGTGCAAGCGTGAAGGACATCAATATCTTCGAGAAGGCGCTAAGGAAAATGAGTGGGGTAGTAGCAAAGGGAATCCTGAACTTGGTCGAGGGTGACTTGGATGCTTTCAAGGAGCCGACAGCACCGCTGGGCCTCGGTACCATCGTCAAGTTGATGGGTTCGCCGCTCTACAAGTCGTTCGAGGCTGATCTACAACAGGGAAAAGCAATCGACAAGGCTCGCAGCATGCTTGATCAGGAATTTGGTGGAGGTGATGACATTGAGATGGCGGATGATGAGGAGGACTCACTTGCAGACCTGTGCTCACTGGTTCCAGAAGATACAGGTCTGACGAATTTGCTTCTGTCCATAACCGGCACGAAGCAGCAGATGCTGAATTACTGGCACAACGTGGACGAGACAGAAGTGGCGAATTTGGTGAAGTCATACCCGAAATTGTCCTGGCTCGTGGATGATAATTATGAGCATGAGTAAACGCATCTCCACACTTAATTTAGAAAATTTAGATGTAATGAAAGAAAAGCTCATATTTAAATTTAGAAATTCATATTTAAATTTATTCTTGTGCTTGATTAATCCACGCTTCTTCTAATTTTGGGAGAACCTGCGGAACTCCTACTATATGGGAGTAAAGGACTGGGCGAACCTTCCGAAGTTCAAGGACGCGGAAACCTCCCTGCTGCAAGTCATCGCGCGCGACCTGTTTCGGCAGCGTTTAGATTTGAGTGGCAAGCAGTTTCAGTCTCCTGCGCCGATATTGGAATGGGCAACGAACATGAAGCAGCTCGGCCTCGGAGGGGATTGCAGTACTACCTAGAGTGTCACCGTTTAGATTGTGCATGTCTATAAGCTCTGACGTACTGAATTTCAACAAGATTAATTTCTCAAAAGCTTCCTTCTACTAAACTACCATCACTCATCCGAAACTGCGTCGCCTATTATATCTACATCCATCTACAACTCATACACAGAAACGCTGAAGCATGAGGTGGCCTTCGCACTAGGAGCAGAGTTGTGGACTATTCGAAACGGAGCATCTGTGGCTACGCCGGCCTATTTCATTAGCGTTGCTGGTGAAGACAAAAGCAAGGAGGACGGATCAATCTTGCCGCCTAAGTTGCGGACGTACTTGCTATCGCAACTGAGTGGCAAGCAAAACAAGGTGCGGGGGGGCTGGCTGGCCAGAGTGATCAAGGTAATTGTATTGCTTCTTCAGATCTAGACTTCGTGATATACTCGCTATTTCGCTCGCGTTTCCCTATGATTTCCCTATGGTTTCTCTATGATTTCTGTATGATTTCTTTATGATTTCTGTATGATTTTTCTATGATTTATGTGCAATTTCTGAACAATTTGATTTATCGACCATCACTAACAGGACGCAAATGACGAGAAGGACAAGAAGAATGCGAAAGAGTTGGAGGACCGAAAATGGGCGAAACTGCGAACAGCTATCCGCAAATTGCTCGAGAACCCCACCCAGAGTTGCATCTTGGTCGACTTAGTGAAGGAATCGAAGGAGAGGAATTGGCTAAAGGAGCTCACACCAGAGCAGGCCAAGGAAGCGGTGGAGAACGCAGGACTAACGGCAGACGAAGCAGCTGGTCGCGAGGATGAGTTTTTTTACACGACGGTGGAGCTACTTGCCCAAGGTCTCCAAGAAGCCAAAACGGATGTGGCAGCGTGTCTGAAGTACTTCACGCCAGCTGAGGCGGAGACAACTGGGGCCGCAGCCCCAGGCGCGGAAGGAGACGGAGAAGGAATAGCTGACGGTGAAGAAGGACAAGCTGATGGCGCGTCACTTGTAGATGCAGCAGGTGCTCCAGCTGGTGCACAGCAAGAACAAGGCCAAGGTGCAGGCAAGGCGAAGTCTAAGAAGGAGAAACAGGCGCCAGAGGTACTACGTCTAATTTATGTATGATTAGTGTATGATTATTGTATGATTATTGTATGATTATTGTATGACTAGTGTTTCATTATTGTATGATTAGTGTGTCACTATTGTGTGACTATTGGTGTTTACTATGTCATTACTGGTCTTTTCTAGTCTTTTATAATCTAAATTCTTCTTTTATAATCTAAATTCTTCTTTTATAATCTAAATCTATCTTACTTGTATAATCTAAATTTTTTACAATCACACTACAGCAAAAGTGGAGCAAGGACACACTGTTTAAGGGCGAGCTCGTCTTCATCGACTACACCTCTGGAAAAAGACCAGCATGCATAAGGGACGTAGATCCCACCGTTCTACGACAGCACGCCGGCCAAATTACGGCCTTGAGGAAGAGCGACGCAGAAGTTAAATACAACTGCGCCGCCTACCAGGGCTCCGTCGCAGTGCCGTACTCGAGGATCGTGGAGCGACAGATGTCCGCGCAAGTGACGAACAACATCACGAACAACACGACCAACTTTGACGTGCTGCGCGGTGTTTTTCCGCAAGCCGGTGCATCATCTTCATCCTCAGGCGCTGCCGCTCCTCCACCCGCTGACGCTCTGCCACCCGTGCCAGATGGCGATATCCTTGGTGAGTTCTTTGACAATGACACGAGTATGATCAATAATCATAATGACGACGGGGATATCGATGAGCTAGACGCATTATTCGGGTCGGATCCATTGTTGTAGTTGGGGGGAGTAGATGTGTCTACTAGTATCTGGGTGTTGCATATCTGTCCTTTTTTCTATCATTTTCAGATCATTAGTACTCCACTACTGTGCCATAACTCCACTAGGTAAGCGTAGCGGCATTATCGTCGTATCGTCTTCCGATGAGGATAGCCCTATCGTAGTGCGTGAGATGAAAGTTAGACGGGAAAGCAGAAAGATAGTGCCACAACGTGCTAGCGTTCCATCTAAGAAAATAGAGGTGCCTGCTGTTCAAGGGGTGCGTAGTCCTAGTCAGTCTGTATCAGTGTTTAAGAAAAAGGATAAGCTTATCGGCCCTAAGCCTCGACCACATGACTACTATAGTCCTTTTGTGAGAAGACATGGTAAATATAAGGAAATATAAGGGATATTTAGATGAGTGGCCCTCAAAATTATCCAAAGCTTGTAGCCTTGATAAGATTCCTCCACCCAGTGTGGAGACGCCTCCTAACCACCGCAGGCGATACCGCGTGGCGTCGGGCTGGCAATTTTCTCCATTAACACCATTTAGACCTACTATGTGGGAAGAGGGGCAAGGTCTAGAACCTTTTGCATCAGTTTTCTATAGCAAGATGGCTAATAGTGACTGTGTTGATTAATAGGGAAAATGTATGGAATTCTTAGGCATGTACAGATACTAGGACTAGGTAGACGGGTTTAGTTGCGAGTAAAGTGTAGTGATAACTTCGGTGGTCATCTTTGGTCAGACTGATTACTACTATGAGTAAGTACTGAAGGTAGTAGTCTAGACGCCGCGTTCTCGTAGATATTCAAGAAATTTAGGTACACACACACGCTCCATTCATAAGTCTGAGGACGCGGCTGCACTTAGAGAGATGCCACCCATGTTGTCCGGCAGAGTTGTATGCTTCGCTCGGCATGCAGCTTTGTCGGACGTTTCTAAAAATGATTTCTTCTCACGAGGGCTTCTCAGGGAAGGTGTGGGAGATTATTCGAGGAGCTAATGTAAATAGAGAATAATAACCACGAGAAGCCCGACACTTTGAATTATAAAATTATTGAAAAATAATATCATACTCATACTATTTCCTCATAATAAATTTTATTTCTAAGAAACGAGGAATACGCATCATGATGAGTTTTTTTAGATAGTCAACTTTCACAAGTGACTACTTCACACAACACGGCTCCACACATAATCGCGCATACTACACAGCAGGATATTGATTATTTCTGCTGTTCTTGATGTTTTTTTTGCAGTGATCTCAGGGGGAGGGTAAGCGTTTTTTTGTAGTGATAGATGGTAGTACTATCAATATCTTGCCTTAACTTGGGAGAAACCTGCACGCTTGATCTTGAAACTGATCGCGATGTCGTGGCGCATGCTACGGATCGCGTTGCATAGGGCCTCTTGGTCGTCGTGGTGTCGTGGTGTAATCTACGCATCACTTTGAACAGTTTTGATTCTTGAATGACAGTCATGCTTTTTCCCTATGCATTGACTGTCACACATGCAAAGTTTTGTATTTCAAACAGGCATGACTTTACGTCATGTCTGTCTTGCAATTTTGAGTATAAAAAACCATAAGAAGGCCCTGGCATCTGAGTTGGAAGACAAAGTGTTCACATCACCTATCGGCCAGAACTTATCGGAGAAGCGTATCCATCGGTAATGGCTCGGTCTAGTCTTGGTGATTACTAGATGATTACTGTGTGAAGATTGAATCATATTGAAGTATTATTGGGTGAAGATTGAATCGCTATTCAATGATTAGTAGGTGACTACTGTGTGAAGATTGAACCGCTACTGAATTATTATTGGACGAAAAAGGACGGATCTGAATGAAGACTGCGCCACTTCTGTGCTTTTATTGTTCATGCCTGTACGTCCTGAGTGGTTGTGATGGAGCTAAGACAGATATCAGATACGAGGTGGCTGTGTGAAAAGAGTGCCGCTGTCTGAAGATCTTGCACAGACAAGGGAAATTTTCTGGGTCGTGATGAATAAAGACAGACGCCTAATGTGATACCCTGCTCCTCTGGTTCATCTACGGTCTAATCATGATCAAAGTATGTATCTCCGTCTTTCTCTCTCATGTGCGTGCAGCCATTTTATTTTTCTACGACCACTTTTTTCTCACTCATTCCCTCAAAGCTATTTTCCCAACTATTTTTTACATGTGGTTTTATCAATTCATAGTAGCGCTTTCGCGTCACTCCCTCTCGTCATTCATTGCTTTTTTGGTTTACATTACATTACTCGACATGCCAGTATGTGGGCTCTTATACCTTTCAAAATTTCATCATCTCTCTAGTGCAAAAGCTCCTGGACTTCCTCTCATTGTATCACTATCTCGGGAAAAAATGACGCTTGCGCGCCTGCATAGGTGAGCACTGGACTGCAGATGGTAGCCTCTTCATACCTCTGGAGAAGCTTCGTGAGGGTTTAAGGTTTGACACACGGCCCATCTACTTCAGTGCAGCTTGTTCAGTGCTTTAGAATTCACTGAATGAGATGAAAGTAAGTAAGTAGATGGGGCTGACATCTCTAATCCTATGTGTGTTCTTGCGGGTGATTGACGTTCGTGCGGTTGTGGGCGTACGAACGTGCGGCTGTGGGGCGCTTACATGAATAAAATAAACGCTTATAAACAAGCGCGCATCTATTATTTAGTGGGTCACTACTGATTAACTAGTCTGCTCCTTACTCATTTGCCGTAGTTTCAATTTTATAGGTTTTTAGAGATTTTTTCAGATTTTTTCAATTTTTATGAATTTTTATCGTAATTATTAGGTGATTACTGAGTCTTCAAAAAGACTCAATAAGGTCAACTAATTCCATAATTTCGCTCTTCAACAAACACACCTACGCCGGCTAGCAAAAATTTCTTCAATGCAGCAGACTCGAAGACAGTCTTTTGGCTTTGCTTTTAATGAGCCAAAGGCTCCAGCTTACTTATCTTATTTTAGTCGTGGGAACGAACTTAGGAGAAGCGTGGGCTTATAGGACGCAGACTCGTGACGAGAAGGCGCCCAGTGTCAGTAGCTCGATTCTCCTGCATGATGCTGGCAAGTGGCCCGATCTGATTCGAACGCAAAAAAAAGATGTCTATCTAACCTGCCCCGGCGCCTTCTGTGAGAAAGGTCGCAGCTGCGCTATCGACAGCAAGAAAAAAAAACAGAATGAGAACAGGATCAGCAGCTTCCTCCTTCTAGTCTACCTCCTGAGATCACAGCGCTGATCGAAGGAGACCAAGATGAAAAAAGAGGCCAGGGCCGACTCTTCCTCTTCTATCCAAGAAAGCACTCAGGTGAACGTGATCGATGGAATGGACCTGCTGAAGACAACGACTCGGGCGACCCATCGGAAAAAACGGCGCAAGATCATCAGGCCCGCCTTGAAGAACAACCGCAAGACCATGCGCGGCAAGATCTACGGACCTGCCAGGAACGCCGAACACTCACGGCGCTGATCTTGTACCGTTGGGCAAGCAGCTGGCTGCGGCCCGTATTCTGTGACACCTGGAGCCTGGGTCTGCTTCCTTCGTCTTTCGCCCTTACAGCCTCAGAGCTTCAAGCTCAACCACAGCACAAGACTGACACAAGAAGCCAATCTGTTGCGTTCAGGCCTTATCTGTGCAAGTGCATCGGTTGTCTTGTCAGCTTTTGGAGACCACCGCGTCGATGCGAAACATGGCCGCGAGATCTTCGCGAAAAGTTGCCCGGGTTGGTCTTCGTTGCCTCTGTCTTTTCGGGTATCTATGGAAAAGGCGGCGGCGCGGCCTCGGGTGCTTCGTCTTTGTGTTGTGTTTCTCTGTTGTTGACAGCCCCGGCGCCAGGGGAGTGCGGACCGCCCGCACGTCATTGGCGTCGGCGCTGCTTGGAATACAGCCGCGGCACGCCTGTGCAAGCTCCTCGTGGTGTAGAGAACCCGGGCGGAGGACGGGGGAGACGCAGGCGGGGAAGCAGTGGCAAAGCGGGGCGGCGGTGGCCATCTTTCTGCGCTTGGGCGCCTGGGTTGCCTCTTCGTTTTTTTTTCTATATGAAAAAAAAAAAAATCTTGGCGAAAAGTTTGCGAAATCTTTCAAAAGAATCTTTGCGGAATGTTTCCGAAAAGATAAGCGCACGAAGTTCCAACAGTGTCAAAACTTGTAAACTTTCCGCAAACATTTCGCGAAGATTTTGAAGCTTTCGTCTTCCGTGTTTTTTTGATGAAGACATGGAAATGGATCGCCGAGAACAAACTCGCAGCAGCTTGCAACGAAACCGCATAAGGCTCCGCGCTTGTTGTCTGTGGTTTTTGTGGTTTCTCTGTTCTTCTCTCCAGGCTTGGGAGGCGTCAGGCGTTGCGCATTCGTTTGAGAATTTGGCGCGAGGCTGCGGCGCGGACTGGTTCGCCGGCTTGTGATGCTCTCGGCGCAGTGGTTGGCTTGTCCGTGTGTGTGTTGTGCTTGTGTCGGTTTCGTTTTCGGAGCTCCTTTTGGCTTCGTTTTAATGAGACAAGGACAAGAGCCGCGCGCGTGAGCCTCGGCAACTTTTCGCCAAGATTTTCTGCCACCGGTGATTGTCGGGCGCGGTGGTCTCCAACAGCTTCTAGGCATTTAGCCTCTAGCTCATATTGAGTCTTCTTTCTTTGATTCCGTCCCATGCCAGTGGCCTCTACTTTAAGATGAGGACCGACTGGGACTCCCCAGAAGCATCTGCACTATGATCCCGGAGCCGGTGAAGTCGCCCGCCCATTGTCTATGCGGACAGTAACGCTATACCCGAATCAGTGCCCAGATCTCTTCAGGTCATACACAACTAGACTAGTAGGTACGCATATCCCTGGGCTTCCCTGTCTATATATTAAAGTTAACGCGAATGCCTGCGAAAAACAAGCTCAGAAGTTTGAAGCTGTGTGATGTATGAACTTCTTTCGTGGATGGTCCATCTCTTGGCTCCCTGGCAAGGTCTGAGCCGATCGAAGAGAGACCCTCCAGGCGAGCTTAAACACGACCAGGCTACCGCTTCGGGCCTCAGTGTATACATGGCTCTAAATCAATGCCAATAGACTGACTCGACGTCAGAGCTGGCGCTTACTTGTCCCCTAGATCATATCCTTATGGGTGTTCGAAGAAACTGGACGGTCTCTATGATGCTTCCCAGGCTATTGCGATGCGCCTACGCAAATCTCCTATGTCGACCATTCCGGGCGCGAAGCTCTTTCCTATGCGCCCTTTACTTGCTCACCCCACCACTGTGCTGGTAGGTTTCCGGGAGGCTTCCAAGTGACGCTATAAAATGGTCTATAAAGTGGCTTATAGCGTGGATATATGACGGGAGCAGTGTGGATACTCCAGCACTGGTTAGCTATTCTTAGCGCCGCTTTATAATGGACCCAAAACCTTCCGGATTCTGGAGATTTGTTTCTTGACGTTTTAGCTAATTTGTTTCCATTTCTTTTGTCTTGCGTGTTGCTTACAGAATGGCCGCGTGCCACCTACAGGAAAACAGTCCACAACGTGCGTGGGTTTCTAGTGTCTGGCGCGTCTCGAAATGAGTAGAGTGGCCCCCTTATATCAGTCTAATCGTCAGTCGTCGTCGACGCCTTCCCTTGGATCATCTTGGGCGTCTTCTTGGACATCGTCGGGGTCTTCTTGTACTCCAAGCATGTTGCTTACCAGGGCGGCACCATCCTCATCCGAGTCAGATTCTGCATCCTCGGCGCCCATCTCTTGGACGTTTGCAGAGCTGCCACTTCCAGCCCCTTTGTTCGTTTGTATCAATCACGGAGGACGAAGAAGACGAAGGCGAGGACGACGCTGCTCCAGTCCCACTCGGTCCTGCGTATACTGATGTCTCAGGAGCTGCGTTTGCCTCTGGCTCCCAATCTAGAACTTCTAGAGAGACCCACAGAAGGTCGCTCCGCCTCAGGCGCTTGGCATTCCCCTGCTTCTCCGACGCTGTAACTCCAAGTGCAGCAAGTGCTTCAGCGTGTGGCTTGATGTGTGCAGAGTGATCATCTTGAGTGGCTTTCTGCTCTTCATAGGATGGCGGACTTGTTCGCTGTCTTAATTTCTTCCGAAAGTGAGTACGTAGTGAAGATGTACGTCGCGCGTGCTCCTGCCCAGGCACGAAGCCAAGCTGCTGCCCGAGCTGGTTCCATAGGATAGGGGTCGCAGCTGCTTTCTGAAGGCCAAGATCTTGACGCTTCAAAAGGAAGAAAAGATCCCGCCCAGCCTTCTGCGCTGCTCGTTTGTATCGTGGCCAAAGATCAGAATTATGGTCAGGCAGCACGAAGTGCCGGCGATCATCGTTGGCCATGGTGAACAGCGGGACGGTGGAGTGACGCTTTGGCCGTGTTTTCCGCGTGATTTGTTTCAGCTCCCGCTTACCAGGTGGCGCGGCAGGGTCCTTAGGCGCATCGTTCTTGGCGGGAGGCGAGAGCTTCTTTGCACTCGCTGCCTGACGTTTCTGCTCTGGTGAGTGGTTTTCAGCCAAAAGATCACCTTCTTGATCTTCATGCAGCTCTGGGATCGGACTGAGCGCTTTTCTGAGAGAGCGAGAGGTAGGACTGCGCCGGCGTTGCTTGCGATCTTCTTCCCAGATTTTCGCTTGTGCTGCGCGCTTATTTGCGTCTCCAGCTGAACGACTAGCACTACTAGCACTAGCGTCTTTCTTTCCCTTGTCTTTCCGGCCTTGTTTTCCACTTGCGTCATCTTCAGCTGCTGCGTCAGCCTCTTCTGGCTTCCGCATCTTCTTCACTGCCGCTTCATCTGGAGCGTAGACCTGCTCGAGAACAAAGAAAGCGAAACGCACATGGGTCGACTGCTACAGACTTCGAAGTCGTGGCCGTAGTAGTCGCCAAGTCCGGGCAGGTGCGTGGAATGATCGGTCGCGCTTCGTGGACGTTCGCCAAGTTATACTTCGCCCCCATGTCTTCGCTCGTGATCCACGTCCCAGCGCTTTCAGGCGAATCGTCGAAACGGTCCATGGAGTTGCGGCCTGCGCCAGCGGATGACCCACAGGCAGGGAGTGAAGACATGTCAGGACCCAATGGCATCGAGGGGCAACCACGTCCGACGAGACCGTCGGCGCGCTTCAATTGCATCCCGCAGAATCCCCGCAGTGCACCACCTAGAAAAAACGGAACGAAGAAGAAGTAGGTCGGCTGCGGCTCAAGGATGGCACCGATCTCACACACTTCGAGTGCCGCTACTGGCTGCTTTAGAGCCGTGCGCATACCGTCGAGCGAAAAGAATGGCGCGGGCCTTGCTGCTGCTTGACGCTTGTTCACGTTGCTGCCCTCCTGCTTCTCTTTCTGCCCAGTGGACTCGTCTTTCTTCGCTTTAGATGTCTTTCCTGCAGGAGTCTTCGGCACTTCTTGACTGGTCTGCGGCTGCGTCTTCTGCTTTTTAGCAGCGTCAGCACCTGTTGCAGGCTTAAACGCCTCGACTCGAACCGTAGACGCAGTTGTAGTACAACACAAGTAGCAGCTCCATCCGCATCGTGCTCGGCTTCAGCTTCTGTGGTACCAGAGTCGATGTCCGTTTCCACTTCTTCGGAATCTTCTTCACCGTCAACGCCTCCTCCTGCTGCTTTCCCCTTGGTTGTAGGAGACAAGATTTCGCTTTTCCGCTTAGAGGCCTTCAGCTCTTCTTCTTCGTTTTCGCCTTGTCTTTTTCTTCGAGTGCAGTTTCTACATGTGACGTGCTGCACTTCTTGCCACCGTGCTGAACATTGAAGGCGAGAAGTCGCGCGGTCGCTTCGACGTCTCGTTCATCTAGCGGCGCAGTCATCTGGAATTGATTGGGAGAGACTCTCCCGACATGAAAGGGGCGAGGATCGTAGCACTCGCGGATAGCAGCAGAACGACTGAGCACTTTACCCGGGACGACACCACTCTGATTGATTTCGTTTGCATTTAGCGCTTCCAGCGTCTCGCTCGTATTCCTCGTCGCGGTTTCCACCAAAGCAGTCTGCGCTGCATCGCGGACAGCGTCGTAGAGTGCAACTGTCGCCCGAGACTGATTCTTTTCGAGCTTGCGAACAGGATCTCGAAGCCACTGCTTCGCGGTTTCACGCTTCGTTCTGATATCGATCTCACGCGGCTGGTTTCCAGAAGCTGCGAGCTCGGATGCGTCTGCTACTTGTTTCCCCTCATGCCGCTTCGCCCGGAGCATGTCTCCACCTCCAGCTCGTTTCTTTCGTTGTTTTGCGATGTTCGCCCCAGTTGCTGCGCGGATATCTCGAGCGACTTGTCGCTTATCTACGTCTGCGCGCTTGTAAGCTCCAGAAACGACTGAGCAGCTCGCTCGCGCCATCAGAAGCTCCAATCCTCCTGGAGTGCCCGAGCATGCTCTCTGTGTGATGGCGTGACGGCTTTCGACTCGCAAGTTGGTACGCGGAGAGAGTCGCCATACTTCGAGCGCCCGTCGCACAACGCCCGGCCTCGCACGGGGATGCTTGGTTCTCAACAAAGCGTGTAGCATAAGCATTCGAAGGCCGGTCGGCTTTCGTTTTCGGCAACGAGGGCGCGCTCCTCTCGTGAATCGATCGCAGAAATCTCGTTCCTCCGCATAGCTGCCCAGACTCGCAAAAGTGCGGAAAAAGGTCTCTTCTTCGTCTTCAGTACACAACCGCCAATGCATCGGACGCGCGCAGAGAGATACGAAAGAAGACTGACCAAGAGAAGAGCGTGACCAGAGCCATTGCTGCCCGGGCCGGTCTGGATGCTTTTCCGCGTATGGGTGCATGATTGTTTGCGTGTAGAAATCGTAAGCCTGCAGCGTAGTTCGGCGCGCGTCTGTGACTTTCTTGCACGTCCACACTCGAGAAATAGAGCCACACCTCTGCAAGGAGAGTGTCAGTCTATCGGATGGCGTACTAAGTATGCCGACCGCCCCCAGCATTATCGTGAACTCCTCGCCCGTGTGGCGGCATCGAAGCCAGGCGTTTTTTCCGCAGTGTAACTTCTTCGGTGACTTCATGACTTGCGGCAGCAGCAGGCTGATCGCCATTAAATTCCTGCATGCGGTGCCAACTGTTCCGAACCTTCCCAACATCGGGCATCCGACTGCTGCAAGCATTGCCACAGATGCTGCAAGTGGTGCTGGGCCCTCAGGCATCGCGGACGCAGTAGTAGCATCCCCACTAGGTAGCAGACGGATCTAGTTCTAGTTGCCCGTCCACTGAAGGAGCTGCAGTTGGATCATCGGAAAATAGGCCGCCAGTCTCATGCAGTTGGAGATCTCCACTCTCAACGCCTGCGCCATCAGATACGCCGCTGCTTCTTTCTACTGCCCGACTGCGTGACTTGTGCGCTTTCTTGTAATTCTTCGCGTTGCTCACTCCTGTCTTTGCTGCAGGTACTGCTTCTATTGCTCTGCGCAGATCCTCCTCGCTACAATGCGTCACGCACTCAACGAACGCCCGCAGAGCCTTTGCTCTTGAGTTTGCTCTCTCCTCGTCGCGATCTGCTTCGAGGAGCTTATCTGTGAACATCGACACGCATGCAGCAACCTCAAGAGGAAGATCTTGGACCTGGAGCATCTGCAAATATTTCCGAGTCTTGAAGAACCTCGCCAAATCAGGTTGATTCTTTCTTATCCCCTTCGCCTGCCCGGGCCCCCGACAAACGGCCAAAAACTTCCCCGCGTCTACTCCGAGGTAGCGAGGCAGCAAGTAAAGCGAATGCTTGAAAGATGAACTATCCAAGTCGTCCTCGCAACACTGGCCCACGCAAAGGGAAGTGCCAGCGTCCTCTCTCATGTCGCCAGCCATGTCCTGTCCTCCTCCGCTGTAGTTGCGTCTTGTAGTAGTGTGCATATGTGATAAAGTATAAGTAAGTAGTTGCAACAACAAGCAGGAGAAGGCGGCGCTTTATCTAGTAAGTATGCAAATAACAAGAAAGAGAATAGACGAGACGTCAGTCAGGCAATTGAAGCACTTGAAGGAGAGCGAGAGACCACACAGCCAGCAGCAAGGCCCGAACTCAAGAAAACAGAAGGAAACAGTTCTTCACGTGTTAGAAGCAGGAAGCGTCGACGTCAACTCAAAGGCGTGGGCTTATGTCTAGCACCTCTGTCGCAAGCGTCCAGTCGAACTGGCGAAGCATCTCTTCGCCATCGTCTACAAGTTCGCCCGATCCAAATCCAGCAGATTCCCCGCGCTCATAGTAGTATCGGGGCACGATTTCCCTCAGAAAATGCCCGCAAGTAATGGCTCCGCCGTCAGTGGTAAACTGTATCCCATAAAACGCTACGCATTGAAATTTGCGTGAGGTGACTCTTCGGATGGAAATGGCAAGAGTTCAACAAGACGAAGAGCAGCACGCCAGGCCTCCTCCCAGGAGGCGACGTCCATCGAATACCCACGCATTCGCTCCACACTATCCGTAGACGTGACCAGCACCGGGATGGGTAAGCGAGCGTATGGCTCTTTTGTTGCTTCTGGTGCATGCTCGTCCTCATCCGCCATCTCTGAATCAAATACTTGCCCTAGAGCTTGTCTCTGTCCCTTCAAAGGCATCCACAACTCGCCACAGCCGACAACGAGACGACAGCTGTGGCCTCGAAGTCTGTTGTTCTTCTGTGATTCAACTCCTTCCATATTCTTTACATGGGTACTCGTGCCATCGACTTCGAAACGCACGCGCGCCAGCTTGCCTCCAGTTTCTCGGAGGAATTCACCACGGACAGCCAATCGCGCTGCCCGATCGATCTGAGGCAGCTCATCGCTTTCGAAGTGGTGCCGCTTCCCACGAAAATACAGGCCCAGCTGACGACTCTTGCTCGCTTCCATCTGCTCACGCCGTGAGACACCCTGCGGGCCTGCGCCTGACGTCGAACCGCTGCCAAGGAAATCTGACCCGTCGACGCTGGCACTAAATGACGCAGCAGCAGGACGGGGATCAAGCTGCATAGAAAACCCGAGGCCGCTTGGATTCAGCTTGTGTTGCTGCTGCTGTGCCTTATGCTGGGACCTTGCAATCACTACGAACGGACGTAGGGCATTCGCGCCCTTGTTTTTCTTTGGCGCTTGCTTCTTAACAGCCTTAAGCATGTTATCACGCTGTGCGCTAAGATTCTGCTGCGATGGTTGAGTCTTCGGCGCTCCTGATCTTCCGGCGCGCGAGAACTTTGCAGATGGGCACGAAGATGATGACGATGCAGCAGGAGTTGTCTTAGATCCTTCCTGCTTGATCTTCGTACTCTTATCCCGCTTTCGACTTGTTGTCCCATCGTTTTTCTCACTACCAGCGAGGCAGCTGGCTATGGCTTTGAAGCGTAGAATCGAACTGGACGCCAACCGTTCAGGTTCTTGCTGCAGCGAGCCTTTCTTCTGAAAGGGCTTCCTCTGTTTGGTCGTCTTTCCCACTCCATCTCCACCTGTGTCACCATCCTCATCACTAGACGACTGCTTCTCTGCAAGACTTCGGCTCTTCGTGCGCATTCGTTCAGCTATTTCTTCCTTGTTCCTGAATCCTGGACGAGGCTGCTCGACGTTGTGCTAGATCTACGGAGAGCGACCGCTGGTCCTGTCCTCTTTTGTTCTTGTTGGCTGCAGAGCGCAGCACCGTCTTCGCCCTCCGACGACCGAAAGCGTCGCGCTCGACTTCGTTGTCCGACATTGATTGTTCTTGCTGTGTGTTTATGCTGTGCTGCTGCTCTGATGGGCTAATATAATATATTCAGGTAGAAGAAGTGTCTGAAGTAAATTACTGAAGAGAATGAATATAGGTCGTGATCTACAATGCTAGTAGATACAATGGCAAACCTAACCAAGTCAAGCTCTTGCCTCTGAAGCTGATACTGAAGACGAACCGCTGCGAAGTGATGCTCAGAACTCTACTCGAATTATGGAAATGAATCACGTAAAGGCTCAACTAAACTGAACCGGACGCCCTTAGGTTGTGCATTTGTTTGGATAGCCTAAACCTACATGGAGAGAAAGTCTAGCTTTTGGGTGCTCCTTTAATCGACTCAACTCGTATCCTTCGATAGGCTCGCTCCCGCCTTCCGGTCATCAGTGTAGACATATTAGCACGAGATGCCAGGTGGTAAATGATTTGAGACCAGAAGAAAGGAAGCTGCCCAAAGTCTGAACTCAGTTAACAGCACAACAATGGTTAGACTTGCAAACTACACTACCTACCTCTATTGGGCGTGGACTAAAGTGCCGGGCAATCCAATGAGAGAAATAACAATGGGTGGCGAAGGAGCTGAATCATTAAAGAAAAAATATGCGCAAATCAATACTAATAACTAATATGCGGACAAGATTCGCGAAGTCAGTGGTAGAATTGAGAAGAGAAAAACGGCGCAAGCTATTCCCATTACCTTCAGGATTCAGTTGCAAAAATGGAGGCCCGTGAAGGTCTTACTTTGCCGAAAGTTTCCGAAAGTTCAACTGGCAGACTTTCTCTCACTCGATAAAAGCGCCTCCCGTGGAGCGTCCTCAGATTCATACATACACGGGCCCCCAGCTGGCGTAGTTACTGGCGCCTGTAGGTTCTACTTCCCTCGGGGGGTCGCTGAGTTGCTTCGATCGATCACAACGAACCAACGCGCTCAGTCACTGCTAACTAACAGCGGGGCTTCGTTCGTTGGTTTAGTATAAGTAAGTATATAGATGCTCTTCTATATATTTATTTACAAAGTAACTAAGAAGCAACCAGGCCAGTTTTTTAACTAACTTAGTTCGAGACAAACAGGGCAGCTCACTCAGCCGCCTCGCGCGCTGTTTGAGTCTCTGGTAGATTGATACGCTCGCAGATACATGCCATAGGCGCCGAGGCTGGCACCTACTTACTTTCGTAACGTACCTAGCTAGCAGCGGCAGCCGATGAATCTGCCTACCAGCCTACCTACCTAGGTAGTGCGAGTAGGTAGGCACGCAGCTGCCTAGCTAGGTAGGTGCGTACCTACGTAGGTAGGTAGGCAGGTAGGTAGGTAGGTAGGTAGGCACGCGCGCCGCCTTTCGTTCAGTGCGTGACTCGTCACGCAGACACGTCGGCCATGCATTGACTCACAGGAACGAAGAGAGTGCGCGCCGGGTGATTGAGTGGGTCGACGGATGGCCGCGCGCTCGCGCGCGTTGGTTGGTTCTTGCGTTCATACATGCACTGACTCACCCTCGCGCCCACCCACCCAGCCTGTCAGTCACGCACTCGCTCACCCTCTCGCCACTCAGTCCAGGAGTCTATCTATTACGTGTCATCCTATGACATAGAGACAGTGCGTGGGTGTATGCATGTTGTAAGTATCTACGGCCTCCATGTGAGTAGGTGCGCACATATTAGACGCATAGACTGACCGACTGACTGACAGGAAATAAAAGAGAGAACGAAGGCAGACGCGTGCCGCTATCTAGGACATAGAATACGCGCCCACCTTTGTACTCATTGCACGCGTGCGAGCGCCAGAGTGAGAGGGTGGGGCGAAGGCCGCGGCGCCGTTGCGTGTGGGAGGGAGTGCGTCTGACTGTCTACCTCATTGCGGTGGGTGCGTACCTAGCTACTACCTAGCATCCGTGGGCGTATCTATCTGTCAACGTTAGAGAACTATACAGAAGCTGCATGCCCTTGCTATATGTAGAGGGGTCGGCGCTGGCTAATTGTATACACTATAGGACGTGGCTACGTGTGTGCGTGAGTGCTTGGCTGAGTGCGTAGCTGGTGCGTGTCTATGTGTGAGCCAGTGCGCGTGCCTACTGTAGGCATCCACGAGCGTACGGCAGAGATAGAATGGGAGAGCGGGCGCGCCTTGTCCGTGGATGCATGGGTCTGGATTTCTTAGAGTCCGCGTGAGTAGGGACCGACGTGCCTACTCATTCACCTATAGGGTGGAGACCGCCGCGACGATGTGAAAGACGTGCGCGAAATCTCTTCGAAAAGTCCGCTGCCCGGGCTGGTCTTCGTTGTCTCTTTGCTTGAAAGGCCAAACCAGGCGCCGAAGCGCCTGGCGCTGTTTTTGTTTGTTCTGTGTTTCGTCGTTGGTGGCAGCCCCGGCGCCGGTTCGTTGTGGGCCGCTCGCTTGCCGCTGGCATCGGCGCCGCCCCGGGTGCAGGCGTGGCGCGGTTGTGTGAGCCCCCTGAAGCGTAGGACACCGGGGCGGAGGACAGGGGAAACGCCGGCGGGGGAGCAGTGTCACCATAAGCCGGCGGCGGCCATCTTTCCCCGCTTGGACACCTTTAGCGGCTTCCCGTCTCTTCTGTCGCTTTAGAAAAAAAAAAAATCTTGGTGAAAAGTTCGCGAAATCTTTGAAAAATCTTCGCGGAATCTTTCTGAAAAGATAAGCGCGCGCAAGCATGGAGTTCCAACATGGTCAAGACTTGTAAACTTTCCGCAAACATTTCGCGAAGATTCTGAAGCTTTTGCCATCTGTGTTTTTTTGATGAAGACACGAAAACGAACCGCCAGGAGCAAACTCGCGACAATTTGCAGCGGGAGCGCATAGGGCTCCGCGTCTCCTGTGTCTGCTTTGTGTGGTCTGGAAAGTAAGCGAGTAGAAAAAAAGCTAGCCGCTTTGGGTGGAAGTTAGAAAAAAAAAAAATCTTGGCGAAAAGTTCGCGAAATCTTTGAAAAATCTTCGCGGAATCTTTCCGAAAAGATCAGCGCAAGCATGGAGTTCCAACATGGTCAAGACTTGTAAACTTTCCGCAAACATTTCGCGAAGATTCTGCAGCTTTTGCCTTCTGTGTTTTTTTGATGAAAGAAGACAGGAAAACGAACCGCCAAGAACAAACTCGCGACAATTTGCAGCGGGAGCGCATAGGGCTCCGCGTCTCCTGTGTCTGCTTTGTGTGGTCTTTCTGTTTCTCTCTCCAAAGCTGTGCAGCCTTTTAGGTTGTGCATTTGTTTGGAAATTTGTCGGGCGGCTGCGTCGCAGGCTGGCTCGTTGGCTTCTGGTGCTCTCAGCGCAGGGACCGGGCTGGTCGTGTGTTGGTTTTGTCGGCTCTGCTTTCAGAGGCTTAGCAGACGCCGCGCGAAGTGGACAGGCGTGAAAGCGGCGCGCGTGAGCCCCGGCAACTTTTCGCCAAGATTCTCCGCCGTCGGCAGTCTTCGGGCGCGGCGGTCTCCAATATAGGGCCGCAGCGTCGAGAGATCGAAGAAAAAGCCGGCGGCCTTCCGTTAGTTTCCGGAAGTGTTTTCGCTTTCCTTTAGTTACCGAATATCGCCGATTATTTCTGTTTCTTGTTTCTCCTGGTTCTTTCGCTCTGTTTATTTCCGTTTATTTCCGTTTCCTCCGAAAGTTGCCGAAAGTTTCCGAAAATATACCTTCGTTCGGCGATTAACGGAAAAAGACGGAAACTCCCGGCAACTTTCGGAAACTTTCGGCAACTTTCGGAGGAAACCGAAATAAACGGAAATAAACGGAGCGAGCTAAGGAACCGGGAGAAACAAGAAACGGAAACAATCGGCGATATTCGGCAAGAGGCGGCGGAGCGGTTTTTTGTAGGTCCGGGAGATCCATGCTTGCAGATCCTTGATTTAGTTTTTTTCCATTTGTAATCACCACTAGAATCAGTTGATTTTGAGGTCTAAAGTGAGCACTTTTTGAGTAGATTCTAGTGCGACGGCGCCCGTTGAGCACATAAGTAAATTTGTATTCGAAGTGATACTGGTTTTGATTGGTTTAAGACTGGGAACCCCACTAGATTCTTGCTTCTTCAGATCTTCTACGAAGAATGCAATCCATTGGAAATGGTAGCTTGCATCTCTGTGTTTGGCCGCGTCCGAGGATCAGTCTCTTTCTTAGCAAGAGACGGATCCTCACGCAGAGAGGGGCAATTCAAAGAGCCAGACAGCCTGTTGCGATTGGGTCTTGAATCATGTGCCAAATTATTAGAAATTATTTCTCTTGGATAGTATATTTGCTTTCTGTTGTCGTAATTCACTCATTTCATCATGATCGGAAGTAGTTTTTTTTGGTTGTTATCCAAAAGAACAGAGGCCCTTATGGTAACAAGGGCGCGGCAGCGGTATGGTGTTGAAGATATTAGTCCACGAACCGACTGGAGCTAAAGTGGGCTGGCGGATGGTGGAGCTACGTGGAAAGCCAGCTCCCATTGGATTCCTATGGTGGACTTTGATCTCTTGTTTTGTTGTATAGTTTAGCTGTAGTACATCAAGACTATTTTCGGCCCACGCGAAAGTGAAGAGTTTTGCGTAACAAGTTTTTGGTGGTCGGATTAGGAAAGTAGGAAGCTAACTTCTAGCGTCTCTCGTGCAGTATCGTGATTCTCTGATCTTGGTTTGCTTTTGTTGTCTTGACTCTTCTAACACTTCGCTGCAAACGATACGACGAGAAGACGAAACGGGGAGCGAGGTCTGGTTAGTCATACGAGAAAAGAAGAGAGCTACAGGCCTCTTCTGGGGTGAAGATCAGAGCGTGGTGAAGATTTGGGCTTATGGAAATCGATGATGGTCGTCAGGAATGAAAAACGCACTTCTTACGTTTCTTCTAGTGGTCGTGGGCATCGTGTCGCAAGGAAAAGATATAAAGCCGGCCACCAAGGTGAAGATGGTGTGCGATTCGTCATGTGTGGCCCGGTGACCTAGATGAAGACGTGTTCTTTTATCCGTCTTGATGAATCTGTCACGCATAGATTTACGATCTGGCTCTAGATAAGATGGCCGACTTAGGTCCTTCTCCTTGATGATACGCAAGGTTCTCGGTGATGTAGCTAGAAGAAGCAGAGCTACAGATGTTTTCCCGTGGTCAAGCCTTACTTTTTCCTCGGTTGTCGTGCCATGGTCGGATCTCATGAGCGAAGAGCCCACTCGTGAATATAAAAGTGGTCCGGTGACAAAGGATAGTATCTGTTGTTGCATCAGCCTGGTGTCGTGCATTATTGCCACGTCAAGGCCAAGTAGAACACGCATTTTTATCGGTAAGGCCCATCATGGTTCGAGCGCAGCGAGTCCTGTTGAGTGTGTTTACAAGTAGCCCTGAGTGAGAAGCATTTTCTCCCCCTACCTTTTTATGTTAACTCTTCCGCCCATATAAGTACAGACTTTCTTTTGGTAGTCGCAGACGCGCAAATGTTCATAGCCTGAACCCTTTTCAGTCTTTTGGATAGGGTCTAGCTGTGGATATTTACTACAATTACAATCGCAAAGAACTAAGATGAAAGTGGTGCGAAATGGCAAAAAGGCTAATCAGGTTTGTGCTGAAACTACAGTAGCAAACTCATGCTAGAAGCATTATCATGAGACCAGTAAGCGTTACTAGTATTATAGTTTTTATTAAGTACGAAAAAAATTATATTAATAAATATTATCAAAATAAGTATTATAATAATTAAGGCAAGGCTTGTTTTCTTCACCGGCGGCCGCGGTGCTACTAGATCCTGGCAACTACTTCTACAACTACATGCTACCATGATGATGCCCAACATGATGGCCAATACTTAATCGCAACACGACTCAACTCTTGACTGTAATGAAGTAGGTGGAACGTGATTGAACAAGAAAAGTAGACGATGAACGAGACTCGTGGGCGGAAGCCGCTCTTCCGGTGGGGGACTAAAGAGGAGGTCTGGGATGGCAAGGCAGACCGGATCAAGTCTAGTAGAAAGACGAGAGATGACTTGATGCTGAGCCGGGGGCGAATCGTGTACAAGTCGAGAGTTGACCTCGCTAAGCGCAGCGAGGTCATGACGCAATATGCCAAAGCGTCTAAAAAAATCGATGAGGAAAAGAAAACCATCTGGGGAGAAGCCTTTGTGCCCGTTGGTGGTTCCACTTTTCGCGGACAGCGTAAGTTGGACCTGGTGCGGAAGGATGTAAAACTGCAGCAGCGAGAGGCGAGAAAGAAGATGAACATGGAGAAGAAACACAGCAAAACTAGTGGCAAGAAAAGCTCTTCATCTTAAGCGAGGAGGTGGGCATCAGCTTCTTTGTCTGAGAATAGTACCGAGCAGAGGACGTGCTTGCTTACGACCATGGGGCTACCAGGAGTGGTTTTGAAGTACTTCATGCTGTTCACGTATTAGACTTTTGGTTCTTCGCAGTGAAAATCGAAAATAGCACTGCGATGTAGTAGCAGTATCTGCAGTGGTGTGGCAGATCGTGCTAGTCGCAGTGCAGCAGCAGTCGGGCAAATGTTTATGGAGGGATTTGCCAGAAGCGTTGACTATTATATTATACTTATTAACAATACTCACAATGAATATTATGAAGCTAAAGCGATAAAAACAAAATGAGTAAAACTGTCTTCCTTGTGTCGTAAGTAATTGTAACTAGTACTGCTAGCGTTTTTTATTGTAGCCACCGAGTTCGTCCTTTTCGCACTTATAATTGAGGTCTGACTGTAAGGGAGATTGCGTTTTCCAGTAGTTTTGTGATGGGCTAGCTTATGCTTCAACTCTAAATCGAAGAGCAGGAGACCACTACGAGAAGCGAGCCTGGCTTTGGGCGCGACCAGAGACCTTGGTGGGATCGGACGCGACCAGAGGCCAGCATGATCATGGTGTCGAAGATGGGAGTGTGCTAGTATCGTAATGGAGTTCTGGGGTGGGATTGTTGCAGTTTGTGCTGCTACATTTTTTGGCAAGAAGAAGAAGACTTTTTGTTTTCTATCCCGCGACGGACCAGCGGCGCTTCCTCTACTACAGGGGAGGAATGTGTGGGAAAGTGCCTAGTCTTATGGCTGGTCTATTTTTTTGAGTGCGCGCAAAATGTGAGCAAGTAGTATGTAGTTTGGTGTCGTTCCCGCATTAGGAGGATAATTATTATAGTAGGTTCCCTAATCAAAGTGGTATCGGAGGCTTCGTTCAGGCTGGGCGACTCCTGGGAAAAATCACATCAACACAGAGTAACGAAGATAAGGCCTAGGATGTGGCCCCTGTATAGTTTCTTCTAATGTAGATGAAGAAGTCTCTAGAATTCCTTCGGCGTCGAGTTTGATTATGTCGAGGGACGGACTTATACTAGACGATAAGACTCGCACTGTGCGAAAAGTCTCTCCACATTGAGGCGAGGACGAGAGTCAGCTGTAGTTGCAACCACAACAGAGGGAAGTGAAGACTTCTCCTTGCGTATTTTTTCTAATCTGCGTTTGCTGACAGACGCAATTGCAGCAGGCCGCGATAGGGAGCAGACGAAAGCCGCGTCGAGCTGTCGCCCTCTTGCTTCGATATTGATACTCGCTGGCCTCTTGCTGTTGTGATAGTGATTGGCATTATGTATCATATTCTGTAGCCTGCAAGAGCAAAAGGATTTTATCAGATGTAGTTTTATTTTTATTTTTATCTACCCGCGCCCTGAAGTGTCTTCTTTCTTCTCGTTCTCAAGCGCGTTTCTTCATATGTCGGACAAGGATAAGAACAGCCCCACCGTCGTCGTTTATTTTATCGCGCGTCGCTCACTCGTCTACTACTCTTTTCTTCATCAATACAGCTGAAAACGTATCTACTTTCATACTTCTGCGCCAGGTTTCGCATCAGTTTTTCGCATGCATTTTTGTCATGAGCTTAATCTATCATGTATATGGAGTTACTTACGATTTCGTGCTTAGTTGCGTCTGAACTTATTCCCGTAATTTATGGCCATGCTCATAATCTGCTTTCACGTTCTTAGCTGCATAGTCGAAGTTTAGGCTCATGCGTTTTACCGCCATGCATACTGGTTCCCAAGAATTTCATGCTTTTAGGACTATTAATAATTAGACTGAACAAGACAGATGGCGCGTTTATTTTCGGCATACAGAGCACACTGCTCCACCTTGTGAGTATGATTATTGTGGTAGCGTGGTCATTCACTAGTGTATATAAGCAACTACTATTATGAACAAGATGATACGCGAAGGATTTTCATATTACTAGTTCTTGAACATGATCATGAGCAGAAGTCACCGCTCCTGCTGCGAGTAACTCGAGACTACGAGAAGAAGGAGCATGGTCATGACTGATCAAGAACTATCATACTTTTAGGGTCGTGGACTTGCTAATGGCAGTAGAGATGTGATCATCATGGACGACCCACCTTGAGAAAGTCACTATAATTATAGATGCGTCATCAGCTGGGGCATTAAAGGGAAAGGGATGGAGCTGGTAAGATGAGCATCGTGGGATGCTCATCCTGCTTTAGTGTTGTGGTTGTGATGTGCTGCGCAGACAACAAATAGTATGGCTTCGCAGTGAGTCTGTAGTTATGCAGTTCTTGAGTGTCGGGCGGAAGCGGGCGGGTAGGTTACGTCTATGAGAGTAAAGAAGATTCTCTTTCAGGTGGGATTAGCCATTTCAGGGCGCGGTCTGTTTGAGGGTCTTTTTTAGTGTCGGGGAAAATGAATGCCAGATGGAGCATTTTGAGCTGGTTGCAGTTGTAGTTTGAGAACATGAAAAGTGAAAGAGTCTGTCTGTATGTTGTTGAACTCATGATCTGGAAACACAAAATAAATCTTCGTGGCCATTGTCCGGGAAGGAGTTCCTCGGATAAGATTTATTTTTACTTGACTTCTTGACTTGTTTCCATTATTCTCTCTTTCCTTGGCAGCAAAATAGTTGCCCTTTCTTATTCCCCGACACGCTCCTGGTCTTGTAGTTTACTTCTTTTCTGTCTGAGGATATTACGGCGCAGTGCCTTTTGCGGTCATGACGTAGCGCATTTTTATTAGTTTTGAAAGGAGATGCTGAAGCAGTGCTCATGTTGGTAAGGATTGAAGGCTAGTTCTTTTTCGATGTAGTTATCTTCCGAGTTTCTATATATGCCCATGCTTTCTTTCTGGTAGATGACGCGCCAGCAGCTTTTCGCAACAGTTTTGGTCAGAAGTTCCTGCTTGTTTAGTACTATGAAAATAATTGCTTGTGTAGTTGTAGAATCAGGCTCAATAATCGGCTTTAGGAATTAGGTTTGGCAGGTAGGACTACTAGGATTTCTTTGCTGTTTCCGAAGTGTTTCTGGTACTTATTACTCTATTTTCATCTTTTTCTGATCGTGCTGGTGTTTGCAATTATTGATTTACACTTTGGTCATGCAATAGCGCGGTCTTCATTTTTGTTGAGACCTGGGGTATATTAGTATCCGTCGTCTAGCCTGGTCCTTAATCAAGAAGACGCGAATCAAGAGCAGACGACTCTGCACATCTTCCCTTTTTTTCTACTAGAAGGCTACTGATGTAGTCGTGAGTTTTCTTTGTGAGTATGAATGATCTGTAGGCCTTTTCGTTCGTATTCAATGTTGACGCTTTACTTTATGTTAAGAAACTAGTACTACTTTTTATTAGGCTGAAAAAATGAGAAAAGGCGGCTCTTCAACTTCGAAGGCATCGGGCGCGCCTGATTCAACAAGTTCCCGCTGCAGGACAGCTGGTGGAGTGCATAACTCGACGAGTAGACGGGAGCAAGTTCGTTCAGCGGGAAACATGCGGTATTTTAATCACAGCAGTCAAAGTAAGAGTTTGGCCTCTGCTATGGAGCGACTTGTGGCTGCAGCAGAAGTTTCTCAAGAATGTAATAGTAGAAGTAGCAATAAGCGGGCTTCTTCGCCGAAGCTGGTAAGATTTCCCGCAAGAAAGAAAAGCCGAAGCATCGATCAGGTGGCAGATAGAAGACGAGTAGAAGTTGCAGGCCGTCCCCAGCCTTTGCCTTCATCATGTGCTTCTTCTTCTTTATTTGCGTCTGAAGTCGAGCGCGAGCGAAAAACTGACAGCCGATGTCTAAGTCCACAAGGTCCCCGTCGTGTTCGCGACCGCGAGCAGGCTGATTTGTCAGTTGGGAAGCTCAACGATCTGAAAGTGCTCGATCAAGCTTTCCTAACCGGAGGTGGTCACCAGAAATCGGGAAACGTCGATGAAGTAGAGATGCCCAAGAATGCTAGCAAGAAGAGAAACCAAAGGGATTTGGCGTCGTCTTTCTTGAATCAGATACTGAGGCCAGCCGCGCCGAGAACCTCCTTTGCTGGGAATGCCAGCCAGTTTCTCGGAAAGGATCCATCTTCCACTAGATTTCAGAACGCCTTACAGCTGGACGATAGTCGCGAGTGTGGCGAGCATGCTGATCATATGGCACAGGCCTCATCTTCAAAGCACAGCGCAGCAGCTACTAGTAGTGCTGACAAATGGAATGAGAGTCAGCGGCAGCCACGACAAGCTTCATCAACCAGAGGGGAAGACAATGCTGTAAGTGGAAAAGGTAACCACGCGCTATTTTCTTCATCAACGACCAGCAAGTTATACACAAGTGGAGAGGCACAGGCGGGGGAGGAGGAGCTAAAAGAAGTGCTTTCGTTATCTTCAGTTGGGCTGGCGGGTGGACATCAGCCACATGCTGGCTCTGCGCAAAACAGTAGGTCTGCAAAGCGTTCGGCCGTCACTGCAGACTCTGCAACTTTAGTACCAGACAAGAACTGCCTAAGTAGCAATCTGGTTCGGAAAGATAACAAAATAAAGACAAGCAAAAGCACAAATAAATCAGGAGTGGTTCTCCATGAGAATAATCGAACAAGAAAGGTGCGTCGTGATACTCCTCATCGTGATCGGTCGCCGCGCAGGAGGGTGCACTTTGCAGATGAAGATCAAGATGCGGATGCCATTTGCAGTTCTGCCCAGTGTTCTGCGTCAAATATTAGTATGGGACTGCAGATTACTCCATCCGTGCGCGCTGCCGGTGTTGATATGCAGGAGGAGAGCGAAAGCGAAATCCCACGTCTCCCCTGTACTCCAGACGAGATTCACCAGACGACACTCGGCGGAAGTTCGGCTCACCACCAGCATTCAGTGTCGGCAGGCGGGGCGGGCCTAAGTAATCAAGACAAAGAATTTTGTACGCCAGCCGCAAAGCAGAAGCACGACGACAAGAACGACAATTATAATCATAATTCGTCGGCATTCGTGATGAACTTGCTTTCTTCTAACATATTGGAGTCTCCGTCGTGGCTCTTGCGGGATTGTAGTGGAGGTGGCAGCAGCGTCGTGAAATGCCATGATCAGTCATCACAGTCAGACGTGAACGTCGTGAGGAGGATGCAGACAGGTCTTGACGTTGGAGCTGTTGAGAAGCGTAGTTTTTGCATATGCCCACCAGGACATGAGACAGCCTCTACCACATCTGTGGAGCAGACTGAGGTGGTGGAGACATTCAGGATTAGTACACGCAACGACGCGGAGCCTGCAGGGGAGCTTTCATCAATGAGAGCAGTCGCAAACGATCACCGACTGGAAGGACATACTCTTACGCGATTGAGCAGCGTAGTTATTACAAAGAACTACGATAAGGGGACGGCGACTTCAATTGAGTTTAAAGATACAACAGGACGAGGATCCAAGAGGAGTAGTAGCTTCGTGGGCGAGCCGCTGGCTGAAACGAAGCAGGAAGAGGATGACGGGGCCAAAACTCCGAATCATGGCTATCATCTACAGGAAACAAGCACGTGGAGGGCTCCATCGAAGAGCTGTAAAGAACCAGTGCGGGAGAAGATAAGCAAAACCACTGCGGCATCGTCGTCTAGTAGTAGTAGAAGTAGTCGAACTCGAGAGGTCGTCTCGTCGAAAAATCAGGCTACTGCCGTGTGTGAAGACGCTGGCGTCGGTTTGCCTTGTGACACCTGTGGTTTGCGAGGTCCTCGACCCTTTTCTGCTGCGCGAAACCATGTTAAAACCATTGCGAACACACATCCAAGGCGGGCGGAGTGGGTTCCGTTGGGTCCGGAAGAGGTAGAGGAGCGGGTTACGCACTGGCGTAGCATGTACTTCCAAAAAAGTAAGTACGGAAGGACTCAGTCGACGGAGCGCTCAGAACTACCTCCAAAGGAGAATCCGTGGGACGTGCCTGAGGACTACGCTCTAGAAGATCACTGCAGCAAGAACTTTTATAGACAAGTACTTGGGGCATGCAATACACCAAACAAACTTCCTCCATCTGCTAGACCGTGCGCTTTTGCTCATAAATGGGAGCAGTATCGAGAGCAGCGGCGGACACAGAGAACAGAAGAGATGGAAGCCCAGGTAGAAGTTGAAAAATGTAGTGGCGCTTCTGCTGGTACTCATGAAGCAGATCCCATCACATCTTCTCACTCGAGCAAGCAAAACTCCGAAGCGACGTCCACTCGCGTAGCAACTACACAGTCGCATGCTGCCAGGAGCGTTTCATCTACATCGGAGGGGAAGTTCACGGTATCCCAGCAGCCTACGATCAATGAGCCAGGGCTTCCTTTAACTCTTCACGAGAAGACAACAGCTGAGCGACACAGAAGATCGCCGTTTCGCGCAAAATTGCTGCATCCGCGCGGAATGACTGTAATAACGAGTTATAACGCAAATGGCGTGGCTGAGTTGATTTCCGTCGTCTCGTGTGCAAATGAACCAGTGAAGAACGTGGATCCTGTGCCGCCGGGGGTGGATCAAGGTCGTTATATTTTTTGATTCTAAGTAGCTGGTAACAGGTTTTCTCGTCTGACAACATGCTTTGTTGAGTGGTCATTTAGTGCAGAAAATAGGAAGTCATCGCTTTCATCATAGGAAAATCCTGGCGACAGATGGTTTCCGTATCGATTGTTTATGCTTTATGCCTTGCCTATAATCGCCGGGAATTTATTTCTTCCTCCAGGTCCAGGTGTGAAGTCCGGTTGTGTCTCGGCCGAAGGAACACAAGCAGCAGCCCAGCGAGTTGCGAGGCTTGATGATAGTGATGGTGTATCGCGTGAAGATGCAGACCGCTGCTTAGCAGGCGTGTTGGATTACGGTGCGACTAGCATTAGCAATTGCGCGTCTACTCGGTTTGGTCATGGAGTTCTGGACGAAGAAAAGCGGCAGCAGCAGCAGAAGGGTGCCACAGCTGCTACGTTGCTCGAGGGGGTCATCTTGTGTGGTTTCAAGAGTGAAGTCTGAATGTGTCCCACTGAGTATATTTATACGCGGAGGCTCGTATAACAATCTTCCACATTGCAAGTCTACTTGTTAGCTTTTTCACGCTAGTACTAGGAAACTTTCTCTGAGATCGTTTTTTAGTAGATGTCTATTTGAGGGAATGCGACTGATTATGGTCCATACTTGAAGATCTTGCAAATTGGTTGGCGTATTCCGTATTCAGCTAAAATCTAGGTGGTGGCCCAGAGTTTGCAGCATGTAATCTGGGCCGGAGTTCGACGCAGGGCACCAGCAAGACATGGTGGAGCTCAATTTCTACATATTGTAATGGCGGCGCTGGGAAAGCGAGAGCTTCGCTGGTGGAAGCTGTGACTGCAGGTGCGCAGAGTTTATTGCTTTTTGATTTCATTTTCTTGCGTTCTTTTTTGTAAGACGCAGTCCGCAGCACAATATGAGCAGTTTCTTTTCCGTGTAGCTTACTGCTCTTTCCATTAGTGCTGGACTTTTCTCCTAAACTATAGCACCTCTGCAGTGTGCAATCCAGTACACATCATCAATATGTGAAAAGACTTACGTCGCATCTATCTCTCCGCCCCACCCAACTCCAGATGAAACTGCGTGCGTAATGGAGGTGGACGACGGAAGCGAGGCCGTCAATTTGAGACGTCTTTTTGGTCGGGATGGGAAACCGATGACGAGTGAGGATATTCAAAGGCCTAGCAGAAAAGGGAGCAGCAAGTTGTGCAGCATCACTGACGGATCTGGTCAACAGCCGAGCATCAGGGCGAGGGTCTCGGGAAAAGCAAGGGAAGTAGACTCGTCTCAGATGTCCATAACCGACGACGATGCAGCAGGACTCGCTGGGGGAAGTGAGAGCATTAGCGCAAAGCATGCAATGAAAACAAGAATGAAACAGATGAAGAAGAAGTCAGCAGCTCCTAGTGCAGCAACTTCTTCTGGTAAAAATAGCAAGCGCGGGAGTTCGAGACAAGCGTCGAGTTCCAGCCTTCGTCTAGAGGAGGCTGGCTCCTTGTTTGCGGATGAAGAGGAAGTGCGGCAGGTGCAGAAAGTAGATGAAGGGGAGACGTCCGAGCATGACTTTCGAGGCATCAAGATGCTTATCAGAGAAGCTATGGCGTCCTTGTCCTTTCTAGTACATCCGGCAGCAGAAGTCCCTTTTTTGAACTTCATCCTTCTAGGCAGACTTCCGCATGATCTCGAAGGATTCATCTGGGAGAAGGTATCTACGTGGTCCCTGCAGAATACTTCAGACGAGTGGAAGAAGCGAAGAATTCAGTACCGACGGACCTGGTCGAGAATCCAGAGAGACACTTGGTGGTGGGGACAGAATGAAGGCGATGATGACCTACAGAAAAAGAATAACGCTACACGTCGCGCGTATGTAGAGGCTGTCCTGGCAGCACAGACGCAAGCAATCAAAAAGTTCGACACGAAGACTTGGCAGAGGGAGCAGAGGAAAAGCGTACGCGTCTTCGACTTAGAAAGCGAAGCAATGCGAGGAGATGCAGCGCTGTCAGGTGCGCTTGAGTTTACGGCGGAGACGCTGCAGCTCGAGAAAATGGAAGGTGTAGAGCTAGACTAGATGACGAAGTTTGATGCTATGGGAAGACTTTTGGACTCAAGGCGGCAGATGAACTGCTTTTTCCGCTAGTTGTCCCGTAATCATGGTTGATAATGAGTATAAGGTTTGGGGCAGTCGATGCAAATAGCTTTTGACTATCACTTGCATAAGAACGCGCGCGCAGTCCACTTATATCGCAACTCGTGTTGGCATAATAAGGTGGCACTCGGTGAAGTCCGCTTCTGGTAGTTGGAGACAAAGAGCTTTGCACTCCGTGTCGTGTCGAAGTTGTGTGTGTTCAGCAGTTGATAGACAGAAGCGAACGACATGAGAGAAGTAGATCTGAGACCATGGCGTGAGTTTTTTTTTCAGGTAAGCAAGTAGATGATGGGTGTTTGTTGTTTCTTCGAATGGTTATAATACTTCCTTTGCTTCTGTCATTCGTTTCATTTCAGTCCTTCCTAGATCAATAGTTTCCTTATCAAGACTGCAGATCATCACCCATGTACTTGCGCTAGCGACTAAAAGTATAAAAGGTCAACTATATAGAAATCTTCTCCTCGATCATTTGCAAAACCAATACTCTTGCACCACTAGGAACAAGTTGTAAGCTCAGAGGTGTTTTACACACAAGACAGCCCTAGTTATTACTTGTATTGGTAAATCAGTACTTTCTTCAAAATGCCCGAAATTGTCGCAGGTGCCGCAGCAGCTGCTTTGCAGCCGGCTGCAGCCAAAGCTGCGGCACAGCCGCCACGCAAGCGCAAGATGTCCGAAGAGCTGCTGAAGTTGGGAATTGCGGCGGTAATATTGTTCACTTTATATTGTTTTCCATCTAGTGCTGATTCTGGTTACTTCAGTTATATAATCAAGTATGCAGCTCGTGGGAAGTTTGTAGTTTAGAAGTAGAGGTCGCGTGACACAACCAATGAAGTTGAATCTTCTTAAGGAAGTTCATTGTTCTAAATGCGATTCACTTTTCTCACCATCTTACAGGTCAACGCGAACAAGAAGGTGTTTGAAGAGGTGGCTTCGTCGGTGAGCAAGGAGCTGGAGATGGCTGGCACTTTTATCGAGTATGATAATCAATTTTCCTCATTGGTGTACCTTTAGAAATTGTAACTGAAGTGTATGCTTAGTGTCTTAGTTTCTTCGAGCGTTTTGGACTGCGCGAATCGTCTGATTCGTAATACAAACATCAGAGTTTCTCTAATTCTTCTCGATGCAGTTGAATCATCTGATTCGTTTCGCTGAGATGAATGGGGACCACGAATCATGTGATTCGCGGATAAGGTTACGAGAAGAAGAGACGTCTCCACTCTGTTCTTCTCAACCTTGCAGCGAATCATCTGATTCCTCATTGCTCCCTGAATGAGAATCAAGCGACGCAGCTCCTGCTGATGCTCGAATCATTCGATTCGTCTTGTGCTCTACTAGGAGAACGAAAGACCTTCGTCGTAGTTCCTTAGTAATTGCGAACTTCGTGCTTCATCTAAAGTGCAAAGAACTCCATCTGTCTCCACTATCTAAGCTGCGATCTATTTCCTTCTTCTAACTTCTTTCCAGATGCTCAACAGCAGCAGGAAGCCGCCGGTGTTGCAGCAGCAGCTGCTGCTCAGCAAGAAGCTATCACGGCCTCGCAGCGCGCCTCTAGTGTCCAGCAGCAACAAGCTGGACCTGTTGCTGGTCAGCAACCAGCTGGACTTGGTCAGCAACAGGCTGGATCTCTTCGCAACTCCTCCTCTTCGCAACTCTCCAACAACTGAGTGCGCGACGAGTTCAGGTTCACGGACGAGGGAGGCTCGCAATTGTGGCGGTATCTAACTCTTTACAACTAGTATAATTGCTTTGTTAAGAACTCTGGTAGAAGAGTCTACGTTTTCAGATGTAGGACTTACGACAGAAATTCGATACTTCTTCTCTCTTCTATCCTTCTAAAGCCCCACACTCGTTTCTTTCGACGAACATCTCCAACTGCCTCACTTTTCCAGGTGAAGCAGAACAAGTCATGGGATAGCGACAATTTGTCATGGGGTGGCGTTCAATGATATGACGTAGTGGGTGCGATGCTGCTCCTCGGCCATGTGAAGAAAGAAGAAAATGAGATACTGACTACATCTGAGGAGAAGATGTCTATGCCTATATGTTCTTCGTAGTTCTTAATTGTTCTTGGTTTATTCATCATTGAGTATGGCGAGCATGATTTAGAGCTTTGATTTTGAAGTAAATTTATATCACAGATCTACTGAACTTGAAGAATTATTTGAATAAAAAGGAGTACTTAGATTTATTTGATATAAATTTAGAACGTTGTGACCCTAACACTTTTGACTTACGATTTCACTCACGGATATATCTCAGCTGGTAGAAGGTGTTTTGGTTGGCATGTAGTGAAATCATAACGATAGATGTGAAGGTCTAAAACGAAGACGAGACGCAGGCTGTATTTGAGTCATGAGGGAAAGAATGAGAAATCTATTGAATGCGCGCAAGAGAAGACAAGTTATTTAGTGCGAGAAGGTTAGTTTTATAGTAATATGCGTATTATGAGATAGATGGCGGCGTGAAAGATGTGCGACAAGATATGGCTAGTTGTTATTGGGCGGGTTGATCAATTTGAATTGATGAAACTTGACTAGATCTATACTGGTACTCTCCCCTTCTTTAGAAGGGACGTAGTCACTGCGTTCCACTATATTTTAAGGAAGACGTCGGCACTCCAGACCCAAGTGCAGTCGGGTTGTTTTGTAAGATTGTATCACGCACTCCGCTCGAATTGACTACTAGCTCGAAGCGTCTCCCTTGATTTCGTTAGGTGTGGAATGGAGAGTCCAATCCCACGCGTACCAGTTCGGACGCCAGTCCTACAAACCACAGCGGGACTTCAAGAAGGAGACACTTTAGAAACCTTGTTATATGTAGAAATAAACACAGAACGAGGATCAAAATAACAAGAGACTGGAGGAGTCGCCGCGCGTGTCTTACCGTCATGTTCCTGAGATGAGGCTTGTGATTGGTAGGCGAAGTCGTCGCGTTCAGCTTCAGTTTCATTGTGCGGAGACCACGGACGGTTCCTTATTAACGTCGTAAGAGTCAGAAGCTTGCCTTCTGTGGTGTGTCGTCATCGTTCGCAGATCGATGGTAGTACTGACCTATGTATAGCATCGATGGTAGTGCCGACGTATTGTTCGGTGACCGTGCGGCGTTTTTTAGTCATGGGGATATATCTTCACGAACTGTTTTGGTGGAAGAGAGGCATAATCGTAACCCTTTCTATCGTCTTTTACTGTCTGGGAGCATCACACCCTAATAAGAACAAAGCAGAGGCATTTTATTTGATCGAAAGAAAAGAACGTGCTGGCACAAAGGGGCGCGTCAGTTAGTCTGAGCTGTGCAAGTTCTGCGTGCCTTTGGAACTATCGAACTAAAAAATGGTGCTCGACGCGCATCAAACCAGCGCTGTCCATAAGGACAACTGGAAGCCGAAAAAGCCGATGCTCGTATTTGATGGCGAAGCTACCACCTGGAATGCCTATGCGACTTGTTGGATCATCTTTTGCCTGATCGGAGGGGCCCGCAAGGTACTTCCTGCATTGTATAGTGCATATTTCCTTGTCTAGACTGGCTTTTTGATGGTTATCATGGTGACTGAAAAGAAAAATCCGGGAAGCAATTGGGAGACTCGTAGTTGTTTTGTTTGGTGTGTTAAAGAAACGCGACCAGATATTTCCTATATCGACGCCTTTTTTCTGTCAATTCATACAGCATCCGGAGTTGATGGGCGAGCTTGTATCTAGCGTGACGGCGTGTTGTGCGCTTATGTTCATTTTCAAAGAGACCTTTGACCCGCTGAAAACTCAGAAAGGAGGAGACATCAAAGTGGCGGCTGAGGCTCTCGGATCTGCTGCCCCGACGTCCGAAGTGTGCGGCCAGAAGCTCTATGAGGTATTTATGATACACTTTTCTGTTTGGAGCGAATGTCTATACCAGGAAACTTATCAATCAATCAAGAATATTGCACTGAGATACGAAACAGTGACCCAAACAATAAAATCCTATACCAAAACTTTCTCCCTAATCTCCTTCACAGTTTGGCGAGCAGTTCAAGAAGCACAAGCTGAATCCAGACACTATTCGCTACAAAAGCAATCTATTGAATGTCTTCGGGTTTGACGAGAAGCAGGCGAAGTGGTTTATCGAGGGAGCGCGTATTTATCCTCGCTTCTAGTTGGTTTCTTAGTAGAGTTAACAACTGGTGGAGACGTGGGTGCTCCTCTCCGAAGGCGTAGACTTTCTGTCTGATAGTCTTTTTGTGGTGATGTAGAGAACCCTCGTTCTGATAGTGGTCTCACTTATTTCTGATAAAGCGGAAATCCATACCACCACAGGCGCGGCCCTCGAAATGGAGAAAAAGGCGGAGCAACTGCGTGAGAAGGAATTGCGTGCTGTGCGTCGTGCTGATGAGGCGGCTGCCGTGCATATCAGCAAGAAGAGAACCAAGCGTCGCGCCCGCGCATGGAGCAAACATGTCATCAAGTGTATCGAAAAGAACCCAGATGCGAAGATAACCCAGGACGAGTTTGAGTGGTCTTCTGCTGATTCCAGTTCGTCTGAAGTCGAAGAGTGGAGGCATTATATGTTTGATTTCGATAGTTTTCTTTGGCAATTGACTAACCTAGGATTGAAGTTTTTCTTTAGATAGGTCATACTGTTGTCTGAGAAGTATCTCTTTTATAGTTTGTTTTCTTGAAGGTGGAGGAAGGATTTGTTTCCGTTTCCTACTTTTTTCAGCCCCCGCCTCGCGAAAAAGTGGCTGGAGGTGCGCGGTATCGCGCGTCCAAGCCAACAGAAGAAGAACAAGAACGCTGGCGCCTCGTCCTCGTCTACGTCTGGCGCTACGTCTTCCACAACGACAGTGACGGGCGGCGCCGCGCTCGGTGGATATGCCACGACATCCCCAAAAGCAGCGGGCATTGCGCCCCCGCAAGCCGCGTAAGTAATTTATTTGAGACATTAGTCCTGAGCCTGACACGATGTGATACACTTAGGCTTTCGATTCGAGACACTTACTTCATACAGCCAGAATGGTGAGAGGAGTCTGACAGCGTAGTAGTGACGTTCTATATCTGTACCTGGTAGTGGCATTGTTTTACCCGAACCCGTCGGGTGTATCAATCTTTCTCCTAATCTCTTCTTTGCGTAGGTAAGTGTGTCTTTCGGAATAACAGAAGTTGGAGGTGGTAACTTGCGAAATTGCTCGTGGAGGAGGAAAAATATGAAGAGTTTTCTTGTTGCTAGTGGAGGAGGAGGGCCTCTGGGTCAATCGTGACAGACGAAGAAGGGAGAGGCAGGGATGGGGACGCATAGTTTATGACTGGGATTAATGCGCCGTAGTGCCAATTCATGTAAATCGTAGGAAGTACTAGAATGCTTGCGGATAGATTACCGACGTGATGTCACCTCGTGCAAGCTAGTTGCAGGCTCTCTACAGTGTGATAGTAGTAGGCGACAGCGGTTTCGAGTAGTGCTTTATGTCTTTTCGCCGCAGTTCTTTCATCTATCTTGTCGTGAATCAGATTAGCTTCATTCGCTTGATATTTGACCAGAACGAACTAAGACACCTAGCAAAAGACTGCACAAATTCAAGCAGCGCCGCCCGCTGCATCCACATAGCAGGCATGGGCAACGAATTCGAGTTATTTTTCTTTTACAATTTACAACATTATGATAGTTAGAAGATCTCAAAGTAACGAAGTATGTATTAATGCTAGAACTGTTGCGCGACTGATGGACTGCATTTCGAATAGAAGTCTTCGTTTCGTTCTTACAATAACACAATTGAGCTTGTTCTTGTTATCCTTTCGATAATGCTTTGCCTTGTTCTTGAGTTATCCCGTGTTAGAGTCGACTATTGCTGTTACGGGTCACGCGCTGACCTGAGTGAGGAAAATAGACGGCAGCCAGATCCTACCTGTGACTTCATTCATTAGCTCACCATAAATCTGAGATGGGACGTAGACTCTTCAAGGGAGATGTAAGGGACTGAATAAGGCGCAGAACAAATGCAGACAGTTTCACTATTTTATACTTCAGAGAACTTCACACATCTGACACAACTGACGTGCTCGCTAATATTTATACTAGAGCTCTTCAAGTATGAGAAGGAAGTATGTGGTGCTTCATGGCATTTGGTGACAGGAATTCGCGAGTATCTTTCGGGTATTCTTCAGAACCTGACCTATACGCCCTAGCTTTCAGAGACTCTAACTAGGTTCCTTCAGCAGAACCTAGTGCGATTCTGTGCCTCAAGTCATTGCGAGAGAAGAGCTTCACTTGTCTACATATCCAAGCCCAAGCGACAATATGCGCAAGCTCAGAGACGCTCGAAGATATGTAGTGACGTTAGGCTGGACTGAGTTTCGCAGAGCTTGGCGTACTGGCATTTGCGTTGCAATTCTTCCGTAGAAGTCGCGCATCAGGATTGTATGAAGACGGGAGATCATCTACAATCATCGACGCGGGGCCCCATCTCTGCTCGTTGAAAAAACCTTATCAGTTATTTGCTATAAAATGAAAACGCAGACTTTACGCCTACCAATGCAGGAAGACTTTGGGAGAGGCCGCGCGCGTCTCCCTTTCTTGTAACTGCGACAGTGACGTAAGCCACTGTTATTCTTACTGCTGTGTGTCTCTCGCAAAGAACGACACAAGAACATCTTCAACAAGATATGAGCTTGAGAGTGAGTTAGGCAATTATCGAAAAGGTGTTGACATTTGCTGCAGCAAAGGTTGCATGGAGAGAAAAGTTGCAAAACAGAGCGTATAGAATGTTATGGCTTGATCTGAATTAAAGACGTGAGGATCTGTATTAGTTACTATCATAATAACTGCAAAGACTATGTCCTTGACGATTGGCGGCTGACGCTCCTGGCTGGACCTCTCTAGAGGTTCGGAACATCATAGCAGCAAGAATGTCAGCTAAGAAAACCTTCGAGCGAGGGAATTCGGTTGCAGAGGTGAGTCGCATGTTCGAATCAGGCCTCACAGTGGAATGCAAGCTAATACGAGGCGGATCGCAACCGGGATGGGCAGCGAATGTGGAGAAGATGTTGCAGCTGGGCGCTGCGGATCTAGTCTGCGAACCCTCCACTAAGAAAGGAGCACAGAAGCGGGCATCACTACATGTAGCGCTAGCATCTGCGGACATGTGTGAGGACTATGGCTACAAAACCAAATCAAGGCACCAGACCAACATTCCCCTTGATCTACTACCAGTGGACATGATTTTCGGGGCACTTCTTCCTGAACGCATTAAGAAGTTACGGAGTGCCGCCACTTCTCGCCACGACGCTCAGGCCATGTACGCAAAATTCACCACGTTGTATCCTTGGATAGCAGCCCTTATCTCCTTTGCCGATTGTGCAGTAATATTCCCTGGCGAAGACGCGAAGGAGTTCAGACTTGCTTCGTCATCTAGCAGGAAGATAGACAGCCTCACTGCGCAGCACCTTGAGAGTCTTCATCGGAGTCAGGCTCTCTTCACCAAAACCAGGCCGTACATCGATGAAAATCCTGGCGCTGCCCTCGTCACAGTCTTTGCATTATTCTACAAGATTGAGCCGCTAAAGTATGTGGCTTTTCGAGTTGGTAGGACACTTGACAAGCTGTTCAAGAAAGAAGTGGAGACGTCGACCGGTATTTCTATTTGTTGCATGTCGGATACATTTTTATGACATTTGTGCAACCCATGACTGTAGCGATTTTGTGAGTGATTTTTTCATACTAAGAAATTTTGCTTCAGCCATGATTTCAGCATAGTCCACATGGGTGTAGCCATGGGTACAGCCATGGCCACAAACATGGCTACAATCATGGGTGAGCAAAATTGAGTATACCGCGCATCTAGCGATTTTTAAGCTCATCACTTTCAGCATGATTTTCTTGGTGATTTTGTCTATGATTTTGATGATGAAAAATACGTTAGATAAAAATGTTAAAAGTGCTGCTTTTTGAGGTAGTCCACATGGATTCGATCATGGTTGCAAGCGTGGACTCATTTGTAGACTTATGACGAGACTGGCCCTTCATTTCTGTAGTGTGCATGCAATTCCATATCCGAAGTTATGTAGGACTCCTGTGGGCCTGAAGATGATCATGTCCCACCGTGTTTCCTTCTCCACTTTATGCAGGTTGGCGATGGCATTTCTGAAAGGAAGTAGTAGAAAGCGTGGGGATGGAGACAAGCACAGCAGATTCTCTTGGGGCAGCTTCTGACGTTAATAGTAGGCCAAGCAAAAGTAGTTCTACTGGTGGCGCGAGTGGCACTGAAAGTCGTGGACAAGATGGCAACTCTTCTACATCGAATGACCTCAATAATAGTGGAGGAAGTAGTGGCGGGGCCGGTACTAGTCTAGTGGTGGCAAAGGACAAGTTGCGTAGCCGAGAATTTAGAATACCTACGGGCAAATATGGCGACAGTCTGTATGCAGCTGCTTTTTGGATGTGTGTGGGCCGACTACGGGCACGCAACTCCGCTTTGACCGAAAGCACTATGGTTGGAGTCGCAGTCGATGACATCAGCAAGGCGTGCGAGTATGTGGTAGCGAGGTGCAGGCTGGCCATTCCAGGAGAAGCAGACTTCCGAACAATAAAATCGAAGCAGGACCAACATCGGGCGCAAGTCATGAGGCGCATTTACAACGACTTAGAAACCGACTACGACGCAATGAGGGCAATTCAAGCTGAGGTCAATAAGAGTGATGACACTTCTGCACATGGAATTCCTGATAATCTTGGCCCGCGTTTAGAGATGCGTGGCGTCGGCTCTGAGCAAGCCGCGCTTTTTGAAAGTCGTCGCCCCATTAGTGGGAAACTTCTAGTGCCGGTTGGTCTTAGCGATTTCAAGTTTCAGTCTGGCAGTAGCGCGGTCGTGCGAGAAGAGCATCCTCATTTAGGCAACGACGATAAGCCGTGTGCCTACGCCATATCTCCAACGGCAACCAAGGCTGCAAGGAGCGAGTCTTTTTCTCCATCACCAAGCAGGCAACACCAAGTAAAAGTAGTCAGAAATCACGGCGGTGAAGCTGAAAATGATCAACATGACAGTAGATCTTTTGCTTCTCCACCTAGCAAATCTTCCGCGCCAGCAGTAGAGCTTGGACCTGCAGAAAATGCTGCACGCCAGCGAGTTATTGGACTGCAGGCACATGATCTGCAACAGAATACAAGAAAGAGAAAGACGTCTGATGTTATTGCGCCAGCGTCTCGCTCACACTGTACACCAACCACGGCAGACGCCAGTGCTTATGTTGAAGAGAAAGGTGAGAGGCTCTTGCCTGCAGAAGACGACTCGGATCAGCAGCATCGTTTTAGTAGCAAGAATACCACTCAGCAGCAAGACAAGAATGGCATGCCGTCGCAGATCGTTGATCCCGAACCAATCGCGGGCGTCGTTTCTGCTCCTGGGCCTGCTTCTACTACTGCGAATGATGATACTAAGAGTCCAGCTAAACCTAAATCAGCGCTGAATATGTCTGGTGCTGAGTTGATGCGGATGCTTGCAGAAGCACGCCAGAAGAGGACGTCAACGAATGCCGGATCAGCTGCTGGCGATGAAAACGACGACGCAGATGCAACCAGAAGTACGTCACAAAGTCAAGCGTGGTTGGCGAGAAGGGCTAAAGGTGCTGCTGCGGAAAAAACTCCGACGTTCTCCGAACTACTTCGTCGGCAACGTAGAGACGCAACGGCGTTGCGTACGATCTTCGAAGAGCCGCTGATCAGTCCGTCTGTCAACGGTAATAGTGACGTCGACATGAATTCGCCACCAGTCCACAAACAGCCAGCGCACCCGATTCAGATCGAGAGTCGTGACGTCGAGCATGATCAACATGATGCGCAGGAGGCTGTGATAGGCGACGAAGAGCCGAATCTTGACAGCTCGAAAAAACAAGATGACCCTATCAGCCTCGAGAGTAAGCCGTTGAATGAAAACGCTGCTGCATCAGATGAGACGCCCGCTCTAGCTGGTGGCCCTTCGACGCCAGCTAAAACAATCATCGACTCTAGCGGCAGCAGTAGTAGTAGCAGCAGCAGCAGCAGCAGCAGCTGGTCCTCCTCATCCTCGTCCTCTAGCAGTTCTACTGGGTCTACTCCTGAGAAGAATCAACAGAAAAAAACAGCTGAGAATAAGACAGCCTCTTCTTCAGTCCCGCCAGCAAACGCTTCTTCTAGTGCTGCAACAGCGCGAAGCGTGAGCGCAAGCACTTTGCGGGAACAAGAAGTCGAGCGTGCGGAAGTGCCAAAACCTCGAATGGTCGAGGGGAGTCATCGCACTTCTCTCCCAGAACCAGTCCATCTGTCGAAGGCTGGTGAAACTCATGCCAAACCATCGCAGCCTGAGCGGGCGAGCGTCGCAGTTCCAACAGATTCTACTATGTTGGATGGACAATTGCCGCTACCAGCAGAAACATCTCCACAGCAAGAGCCACTATCTCCATGCGAATTCGATCCGATGGCCATGCCAGATTATGAAGACGTCGACCTAGACGAAAACCTATCGGGGAAAGCAAACGTCGCGGGTTACGGTCCCAACATCTTGAGTATGCAGCTTCCAGTAATGAAAATCAGAAAGTTCTGCTTCCAAGATTTCTTGAATATTGTCCGACAAGAAATTGATAAGCAGCCTGAAGCCGGAGACGCTGAGGTAGCCGGGTCGACAGCGTTGCTTCAGGCTTCGTTTATGCACAAGATGGCGACCTACTTCCTCGGTGCCGCGTCAACCATAATAGTAACCTGTGACCAAGGCGGGTCGCAAAGGAAGTGGTGCTATTGGTTACAATTTGCAGAGCGGTATCTTCTGCCTTTAGGCGCTGGCCTCTATCTGTTTGAGAAGGAGTCAGTACGGAAAGCATCGAAGCAGCGAATGGCGCGATCACATCTAGACTCAGGAAGGGTCGTAGAAGTGAAACAAGAAAAACGAAAAACAGCCGCTACCAATGCAAAACAATCCGAGCGCTTGTTTCAAGAAGATTTGACAACATCGCAAAAAACATCTGGTAGTAATGTGCCTAGAAGTCGTCGCGTTCGAGATCCGACTGAGGTCGGGCTGAAGCTTTTTGAGGATGAGGATTTGTTCGACGACGACGATCAGGGCGACTTCGCGCTACACGCAGCTGCTGACCAGACTGCAATAAAGAATGGCTGTCCTCCAGGTATAGCCAATGTTCTTTTTCAGTGTTTTTTATTATTCGAGATTATATTTATAAAACCACACTCATTCCCCATAAGAAGACTGAAAGTATCTAGGTTTTTTGCACTTTGTAACTATAAATGCCGCGCGCAGGTCGTCGATGTTTGTGTAATATAACTCTATGAGTGCTCTACTATGAATGTTAATAAACGTCTCGCCTAATACAGATTCACCTGACTCGAGGCCGACGATGAGAAAAGTGATTTCCAGTGATGGCGTCGCGCGATTAGTACCAGACACAAATGCCAGCGCAACAAATGCCGACAAGAATGCGCCGAGTTCTAGCAATCCCTTGGGAGGAGCGAGACGTGGAGCGACAAACAACAAGCAGGAGAGACAGCGTAGCGCGATTGAGGCCTTGGTTGACGCTGGA